AAAAAAAATTCAAAATTTTTTTATTTTTTTTTTTTATTTTTTTTTTTATTTTTTTTATTATAAATAATATTGAAATAATATTAAACTTTACCAAAATTATTAATATACATTTTTTGGATTTGATTTATCTATCTTTTCTATTTTTTTCTATTTTTTTCTATTTTTTTATTATTTTTTCTATTTATTCTACCCTTTTTTTTTTTCGATCAAATCTAATATTATATAAAAATTACATGCATACATCATAAATAAATCTTTTGTTTTAGATAATACTATATTGATTTACTGTTTTTTTTATTTTTACTACTATTTTATATATTTTAAAAAATATTATAACCGTTGTATTTTTGCAGATCTTAAATGGTTATTTCTACTTTTAAACATTTTTTAATATTCAAAATTAGATACCGCTTTCCCCCTATTATAATTTTTATTTTTTTGTTTTATTATATTAAAGTGTGAATTTAATTATAATAATTTAAAAAAAAAAATATAAAAAAAATAAAAAATTAAATGAAAAAAATAATATAATTGGGTAAAATAATGAAAATATAATAAAAAAACAAAAAAAAAGTGGGTGAGTGTGTGTTAGAGAGGGAGTGTGTTTTTTATATATTTTAATTATATACATATATATTATATATATAGCATTGTTTATTTATATTTATCCATTTTTATTTTCTATTTATTAATTTTTTTATTTCGAAAATACACAGATAATGCATATAAATAAAAATAAATAAACAAATTTTTTTTTTAAGTTTTTTATTTTTTTTTTTCTTTTTTCAAAATAGCTCACATAAATAATAATTTTTTTTTTTCTAATTAAATAATAATAGTAATAATTAGATATAAAAAGATAGCTAATATTATTAGTTATTTATTTATACTTTTTTTTTTTTAGAACTTTAAAAAAAAAAAAAGAATGAAGATAATAAATTATTTTTTTATTATCTTTATTATATCAATATTTCTAATAAATCAATCATATAGTTTAGAAGACAATAATATTAGTGAAGTTATAAATGGTAATAGCAGTAGTACCAATAGCCAGGAAAAAATATATGATATAAATCCAACAATCTCATCGCTGTCATCTTTAGAGCTATCACAAAAGGTTATAAATTTTTATTCTAAATTTCCAAGATTCGATTTCACATTTTCAAGAATAAATAACACATTCAATCCAAAAAATGAGTCATATATTGAGGTAAAATAAAAATTTAACAGAAAAATAACATTATAGAATATTTATTAATAATTTTTTTCATAGTCAATTATATTAACAGGATTTCCATTTGGTATATTAGTTATTTTAACTATAATCGTTATAATTTCAAGTGTTTTAGCTATCATTATAATTAAAGCTAGGGACTATTGCAGAAAAAAATCACAATATAGATATAAATTAATTAAATATCACAAAAAATCACAAAGGTCCACTTTTAAATGTATTTTCTCCACCACCACAACTATAATATTGTTAGTTACAGTTTGGTAAATATAGCTTTAGAATATATTTAATTAAAAGATTTAAATCCTCATTCTTTTTTTTTTTTAGCTCATGTTTAATTGTTTCATTATTTGTTAATCAAGATTTAGATAGTGCAGTATTACTATCAATTGATAATTTAGAATCACATTTATCAAATAGGGTAGATATTGAAGAAAAAGTATTAAAAGAATGTAGACCCGTTACCTATATTCCATATGATGCAATTGAAATAGTGTCAACAACCAAAAGGATATTAAACATAACAACAGAGACAAAAGAGAAAATACACAAATATGAATACTATAGATATGAGTTTATATTTATTTCATCAATGGTTCTATTCGCACTATTATCATTAGGATTGTTATCGATTATAATTAGGTTTAAAATAGCATTAGCCCTATTTATTGGCCTTGGATTAATGGTACTGTGCAGAGTATGGGTAGTACCGGGAACTCATCGTCCAATGGGTGTGATGATATCAGATATCTGTCCACAAATGGATCAAATAATAGAAAGTTATGCACCCAACAATATTAGTCCATATGTATATTTCTTTTTAAATTGCACCGATGCCGATAGATGCAAGGGAGGAGATAGTTTGATAGACCAAAAGATTAACTCCTTAGAAGTGTCATTACAGAGGGCAAAAAAATATCATTTCTCAAACTCAACAATTCACAGATTAGAAGATAGAATTCAAGGATTGTATGATTTATCAAGAGATTCTAAAGATATGTTGAATTGTAATATAACTTCAAATACTTTTAAATCAACTCAAAATTTAATTTGTATTGATATAATGTAAAGTATTATAATAGATAACTCTTTCATATTTATAATAATTAGGATATTAATTTTTTTAATTTTTTTTTTTAGCAATTCATCATTTATATTGTCATTATTATACGTTTTAATTGGTTTGTTATTATCAATTTCATTTATTACATCATTAATTGTATATTCAAATTCATCAATACCCAAAAAATCAAATGATGGTTATGGAATATTAAAATATAATAACGATGATATTGGTGATTTTACCAATAATAAAAAGAGTATCAACTCTTATTATGAGGATGGACTAAATACACCATTAATTACATCATCAATTATAAGTGATGGCTATGAAAATGATAGCGATTATGATAATGATGATGATATTTCAGATTTTTAAAAATAATAATAATAGTAACAATAATAATAATATTAAAAATTTAATCAATAAATTAGAAAGAAAATAAAAATAATAAAAAAAAATAAAAAAAGGAAAAAATAAATAAAAAATTTAAAATTATTTGTATTAATAAAGGCGGCTTTATTTTTTTTTATATTTTTTATTTTTTTTTTTTTATAAATTTTTCAAAATTTTTTAATTTTTTTTTAAATTTTCAAAAATTAAATTCAATTTTTTTTTAATATTATTTTTTATAAATCAAGATAAATCAAATAAAAGATGTATGGAGGTGGAGATGATGTTAGCGCCATAGTATTGGACGTTGGAACATTCTCAACTAAAGGCGGCTATGCTGGTGAAGACTCACCCAAAGCTGTTTTCCCAAGTGTAGGTTTCATTTAATTTTTATTTGGAGTTTTTTTTTTTTTTTTACAGTTATTTGTGGGTTCATAATTTTTTTTAAAACATATTTTCATAATCTAATTTATATTTAAATTTATAAAGGATATAGGTGTTGTATATAAAAATGGAGATGATTCAGTTGTTGGAATCTCAGAATCAGAAATTGGGGAAAAAGAAGATATAGACCAAGTTAAAAAAACTTATTATACAGGAACAAATGCAATTACATATAGAAGACCACACATGGAGGTTATTAATCCTTTATCAGATGGTTTAAGTAAAGTTTCAATAATAAATAATAATAAATAATAAATAAATAATTAATATATTAACAACTCATTAATTTGATTATTACTATAGTTAAAAATTGGGATGCAATGGAACAAATTTGGAATCACACATTTTATGAAAGATTACATATCAATCCAATGGATCATCCAATTTTATTAGCTGAACCATCTTTTAATACCAGAGTAATTAGAGAAAAAGTTTCAGAAATAATGTTTGAAAAGTATCACACACCAGCATTATTCATTTCAAAGAATGCTGTTTTATCTTCATTTTCAAGCTCTAAATCAACTTCATTAGTTTTGGATTCTGGTGGTGGCATGACATCAATTACACCAGTATTTGAAGGTTATGTAGTTAAAAATGGTAAGATTATGAATAGAAATATACATACTTAATTGAAAAGGAAAATATGTTAATCTTTTTTAAATTATAGGTATTGTAAAATCAAATTTAGCAGGTAATAAATTAACAGAAGAGTATTATAAAGTTTTATCAAGCAAAAACATTACAATCAATCCAATCAACTTAATTAAAAAGGTTGAGATTAAAGCTGGCGAATTTAGTATTACACCATATAATATTCCAACACTTACAGAATCTTATAAAAGATATGTTACATTAGAAACTGTTAGAGATATAAAAGAAACCTCATGTAGAGTTGCCGATCGTGATTTAGGTGAAGAGTAAATAGTCATTACATTTAATTTAGATATTAGTATAATAGTATTGATTTTTTTTATTATTTAATTACTTCTATAGAATTAATATAGCTCAAGTACCATATGAATTACCAGATGGAAATTTATTAGAAATTGGGTCAGATAGATTCCAAATCCCAGAATTATTATTTAATCCAGCACCATTAAATGAACAACTTTTAGCTGCATCATCATCAGCCGCTGCTGCACTTAATGGTACAGATACAACCACCACAAATTCAACACCACAACAATATCAAGGTTTAGCTAAAATGATTATTGAATCACTTGAAAAGAGTGATACCGATATCCGTAAAGAATTAATTAGTAATCTTATTCTTACTGGTGGTAATACATTATTCACTGGCTTCCAAGATAGATTAGTTAGAGATATTTCAGAAATTTCATACAATAAAGCTAAAATCGTTTCAAATCAAACAGAGAAAAAGAATTCAGTTTGGATTGGTGGATCTATTCTTGGATCACTTGGTACATTCCAACAAATGTGGATGAGTAAATCAGAATGGGAAGAATATGGTCGTCCATTAGTTGAAAAGAAATGTCCATAAATTAAAACAACAAATAGATAGAAAAAAAAAAAAAAAAAAAAAGTAAAAATAAAAATTAATTTTAAAAAAAAAAATAGTATATAACTATGTTTTTGTTATTTAAATAATAGTATTTATTTATCATTTAGTTTATACATGTTGTTGTTGTTTATTATTGTTATTTTATTTAAATATGAAATTCTAATTTTTTATGAATTTCTTCTTGGATTCTTGTTAAATAACGTAAATAAACAGTTCTCTTTAAAGCCTCTTGATAATCTTTCTTTTCAAATAATGATTCCAATTCTTTTGATACTTCATTAATCTTTTCACGATTTTCGTTGCCAATTTTGGTGATCTCTTCGTCTGTACCTTCATCAATTGCTTCTCTAATTTCTAAAACCTCCATTAAAACTTCGGGATCGACATCACCAACGCTGGAGAGGTCATACCCTTTTTGATTTAATATATACTCTGCTCTTAAAAATGGTGATTTTAAAATATTATATGCTGTATTAATTGATGTTGAAATTTCTTTAGATAAAGCTTTTTCTTTTTCATTTTTTTGTTCAAATAAATCTGGATGTAATAGTTTTTGTAAACTTTTAAATCTATGTGATAAATCTTTTAAATCAATTTTAAAATGAGGTTTACTGTATATTGTATATAAATTTATAAAAAAAATTAGTATATTTGGTTTTTGGTGATGATATTAATAAACAATAGACATCTACTATATGGTGTCTATTGAGATACATACATATCAAATAAAAAAAATATATCAACTGATGAATCTGGTTTTTGAACTTTATTACACATTGGGCAAAATACTTTTTTTTTTTCAATATGCTCATTGCATGACCAACAGGGGCTTTGTTTAAGTTTATTTATAATATTTGATGCATGGTTATCGTCTGCTTTGGTTGTGTAAAATCTTTGGTGATTATTATTAGTGATTTTATTTATACTGAAATTATAATTTTTGGTTCTTGCTATAGTTTGTAAAATGTTTATATTTTTAATAGCTGAGTTAATGGTTATAATTCTATTCATTGTATATGATATAATTAAAACATATGAAATTTAAAAAAAATGAAAAAAAAAAAAAAATAAAAAAAAATAATTAATTTTTTGAATTTTATTTTTTTTAATTTTTTTATTTTCAAAATTGTTTTTATTTATAATATCATAAATGGAAATTATTTTCCAATTAAATAATTGGACGAAATAGAGTTTTCCTTAAAAAGAATATTTATATGATGTTGAAGGGTTGTGTTTTGTGATTTATAAGATATGAAGTACTCTCACTAAATGATTTAATTTTTGTTTATATTGGATATATCCTAATTAGGTAGTATACCCAATTTAAATATCATTTATTATTATAATACATATTATTATATTATATTATTAAATTTTAATATATTTAAATATATTTATTTAATTTCATATTAATTTTATTTATTTTGAAATTAAAAATCTATTTGTTTTTGGAGGGGTGTTCTTTGAGCTTCTTTTTTATCTTTATAGTAAAAAATAAATTATATTATAAATTTGACATGTCGTAATTTATACTTTTTTTTTTTTATTTTTTATTTTCGAATCAAAGTTTTAGACATGTCTTAAACTTTTCTCACACAATATGAAAGGAAAACCTTAAACTATATTTGCTAATATTTTAAGAAAAAATAGATTTCTGTACGTTGCTTTTGAAAAAAAAGTATTTTAATTTTTTTTTTATTTTTTTTAAAATAAATTATTTTTAGAAAATATATTTTTATTTTTTTTTAAATTTTTGGTGCCTTTGTTTTTTTTTTCTTCAATAATCTTTGTATTAACAAAACCCCCTTTGTCCAATCTAAACAAAAAAAAAAAACAAAAAAAAAATAAAAAAACAAAGTAATAATAATAATTTAATTTTATTTTAAAAAGAATATGTTAATTTTTTATTTTTTATTTTTTATTTTTTATTTTTTTTTAAACACTAATTTTATTTTATTTTATATTATTTTAATAAAATAGATATTAAAACATGGATGGTCGAGAGTTACAGGAGTTAAAGGATGGAGTTCCGTCCTTAGATCAAGATAATTTAGATATAGAATCAAGTAAAGAGGCATTCGATAATTTAAATAATGAAATTATTAATGATTCAAAACATATTGCAACTTTAAATGATCCCGAATCATTTTCACCAGAAAGTGAAGATCATATTAAATTACGTGACTATTTTATGGACTCTCAAAGAATGGCCAAAGAAAATGGTAGTAAAGAAAAAAAAATTGGTGTTACTTTTAAATCATTAACTGTAGTAGGGAAGGGTGCTGATGCTTCCGTAATCAGTGATATGTCCTCTCCACTCTTTTCTTTTATAGATTTATTTAAACCATCAACCTGGTATGTAAACCTAAATTATTTTAATCCATTTTAGTTTAAGTTTGTTTTCATATATTTTATTTATATATTAGTATAAGTTTTGTGCATATGTTATATTTAATTTAATTTTTAATTTTTAATTTTTAATTTTTTTTAATCTCCCACTTCAAAATTTTATTAACTTCATTTTTAATAATATTGGTATTCTATTATAGGACAACAAAGGTATCAGAATTTGATATTCTTCATGATGGTAAATATTAATATTTTTTAAAAAAATAATAATAAAATAATAGTTATTAATATTAATATTAAAATTTATTATTTTTAAATAGTAACCGGTTTTTGTAAAGATGGTGAAATGTTATTAGTATTGGGTAGACCAGGTTCTGGTTGTAGTACCTTACTTCGTGTCCTTTCAAATCAAACAAAATCATATGTTTCTGTCAAAGGTGATGTTACATATGGTGGAATCGATTCAAATAATTTTAAATATAAAGCAGAGGCAATTTACACACCAGAAGAAGATTGCCATCACCCAACTCTTACAGTACGTGAGACTCTAGATTTCGCATTAAAAGTAATTATACTGAATAATTTTTTTTTTTTTTTAAAAAAATATTTTAAATTAATACTAATTTTTTCTTTTTTTCAAAAGTGCAAAACTCCTACAAATAGATTACCAAATGAAAATAAAAGATCTTTTCGTGATAAAGTTTTTAACTTATTATTAACAATGTTTGGTATGGTTCATCAATCGGAAACTATTGTCGGTAATGAATTTATTAGGGGCTTAAGTGGTGGTGAAAGAAAGCGTTTAACAATTACAGAGGCAATGGTATCAGGCTCATCAGTAACATGTTGGGATTGCTCTACAAGAGGTTTAGATGCTGCATCTGCCTTAAATTTAGCAAAATCTTTAAGAATTACAACTGATACTTTACATAAAACTACAATTGCCTCATTTTATCAAGCATCGGATTCAATTTATAATTGTTTCGATAAAGTTTTAATTTTAGAAAAAGGTATGTAAAAATATATATATGTTTTTAAAAGTAAAATTAAATATTAATATTTACCCTATTTATTTTTTAGGTCGTTGTATTTATTTTGGTCCAGTCAGTAATGCAAAGCAGTACTTTTTAGATTTAGGTTTCGATTGTGAACCAAGAAAATCAATTCCAGATTTTTTAACCGGTGTTACAAACCCACAAGAACGTATTGTTAAACAAGGTAAATTTAGTTACAATATTAAAATCTTTATTGTATTTAATAATTATTAATTAAAATTTAAATAATAATAATATTTAGGTTATGAAGATAAAGTACCAATTACATCAGGTGATTTTGAAGAGGTTTGGAAAAATTCAAAATTATATCAAATTTCAATGGAAGAATTGAAAGATTACGAAATTGAAACAGAAAAGAATCAACCCAGTAAGGATTTTATTGAAGAAATCAAAAATCAAAAATCAAAAACAAATAGAAAAGGCTCACAATATACTACATCATTTATTACACAGGTTATTGCCTTGGTTAAAAGAAACTTTTCAATGATTTGGGGTGACAAGTTTGGTATTTTTAGTAAATATCTTTCAGTTATTATTCAAGCATGTGTTTATGGTTCACTCTTTTATGGTATGAAGGATGATATGGCAGGTGTATTTACTCGTGGTGGCGCAATTACTGGTGGTCTTTTCTTTAATGCTTTCCTTTCAGTAGGTGAAATGCAAATGACATTTTTTGGTCGTAGAATTTTACAAAAACATTCATCTTATAAAATGTACCGTCCCGCTGCTTTACACATTGCACAGGTAGTTAATGATTTACCTTTTACTTTGGCTCAAGTTATACTGTTCTCTTCAATTGTTTACTTTATGTTTGGTTTAACTCCAGATGCTGATAAATTCTTTATTTATATATTCATAAATATTGGTTGTGCTTTATGCTGTACTGCTTTGTTCCGTTTATTTGGTAATCTTTGCCCATCAATGTATGTCGCCCAAAATATTTTAAATGTATTTATGATATTCCTTTTCACTTTTGCTGGCTACACAATTCCAAAAGATAAATTAGATGAAATTCCTTGGTTTGGTTGGTTCTTTTGGTGTAAGTTCTATTTTGTATTGTTAAAAAATAATAATTTAATAATTATACTAATTAATTTTAATTAAACCACTTAATTTTAACAGGCAATCCATTTGCTTATTCCTTTAAAGCTTTAATGGAAAATGAATTTGTAGGTTTAGAATTCCAATGTACAGAAGAGGCTATCCCATATGGTGATTTTTATCAAAATTATACTGCAAATAGAATATGCCCAGTAGCAGGTTCAAATCAAGGTGAATTAAAGTTTTCAGGTAGTTTTTATTTAACCAAAAACTTATCATTCCCAACAAACCAATTAGCTTTAAATACAATCGTAGTTTATTTATTATGGGTATTATTTATTATTTTGAATATGATTGCAGTAAGTACATATGTTTTTAAATATTAAAAACAATAATTTAAATACTAATTTTTTTATTAATTAAATAAAGATGTCTTATTTAGACCATACATCTGGTGGCTATACTCATAAAGTATACAAGAAAGGCAAAGCACCAAAAATGAACGATATTGATGAAGAAAGAAATCAAATAGAATTGGTTGCCAAAGCTACATCAAATATTAAGGATACACTCGAAATGCATGGTGGTATTTTCACATGGAAGAATATTAATTATACTGTACCAGTCCCAGGTGGTGAAAAATTACTTTTGGATAATATCGATGGTTGGATTAAACCAGGCCAAATGACTGCATTAATGGGTGCAAGTGGTGCTGGTAAAACAACACTATTGGATGTTTTGGCAAAAAGAAAAACTTTAGGTACAGTTAAAGGTGAATGTACTTTGAATGGTAAACCATTAGAAATTGATTTTGAAAGAATTACAGGGTAGGTTAATTATCATAAAAACAAATAATCTTTTATAAATATTAATATTTTTTTTCTTTAGTTATGTAGAACAAATGGATGTCCATAATCCTGGACTAACAGTTCGTGAGGCATTAAGATTCTCAGCCAAACTTCGTCAAGAACCAGAGGTTTCGTTAGAAGAGAAATTTAAATATGTTGAACATGTACTTGAAATGATGGAAATGGCACATCTTGGCGATGCATTAGTAGGAAATTTAGAAACTGGTGTTGGTATTTCAGTAGAAGAAAGAAAACGTTTAACAATTGGTTTAGAATTAGTAGCAAAGCCTTATTTATTGTTCCTTGATGAACCAACCTCTGGTTTAGATGCCCAAAGTTCTTATAATATCATTAAATTTATTCGTAAACTTGCAGATGCTGGAATGCCATTAGTTTGCACTATCCATCAACCATCAAGTGTATTATTTGAACATTTTGATCGTATTTTACTCTTGGGTAAAGGTGGTAAAACAGTTTACTTTGGAGACATTGGCGAACGTTCAAGTGTACTTTCTGGATATTTTGAACGTTATGGTGTTAGACCATGTACTCAAAGTGAAAATCCAGCCGAGTATATGTTTGAAGCTCTTTCCACAGATGTAAACTGGCCAGTTGTTTGGAACGAATCCCCAGAAAAAGAAGCAGTTACTCTTGAACTAGATCAATTAAAGGTTACAGTAAATGAAGCATTCCTTTCACAAGGTAAACCAAGAGAATTTGCCACCTCACTTTGGTATCAATTTAAAGAAGTTTATAAAAGATTAAATCTCATTTGGTGGAGAGACCCTTACTATACCTTTGGCTGCATGGGTCAAGCTATCATTTCGGGTCTTGTATTGGGCTTTACTTTCTTTAATCTTCAAGATTCATCATCCGATATGATACAGCGTGTATTCTTTATTTTCGAAGCTATCATCCTTGGTATCCTTTTAATTTTTGCAGTTATGCCACAAATTATCATTCAAAAGGCCTATTTTACTCGTGACTTTGCATCCAAATATTATTCATGGTTACCATTCACTTTGGGTATTGTTATAGTCGAACTACCATATACAATCATCTCAGGTACACTCTTTTATTTCTGCAGCTTCTGGACCGCTGGTTTAAATTACGATGCCTATACAAACTTTTATTTCTGGATCATCTATATCCTATTTATGATTTTCTGTGTCACATTTGGTCAAGCTATTAGTGCATTTTGTATTAATAATTTATTAGCTATGACAGTTTTACCATTGTTAGCTGTTTATTTATTTTTATTCTCTGGTGTTATGGTGTAAGTATAATATAAAGTATTTCCAACACATTTATTAAAATAATAATTCTAATTTATTTTTAAATATTAATCCTAGCCCTCCATCAAAAATTCACGGGTTCGAGAAATGGATGTATTATGTTAACCCAACCAAATATTTCCTCGAAGGTATCTCAACAAATATTTTAGATACTGTTAATGTTATTTGCACTGAAAGAGATTTAGTTTTATTCACCTATCCAAAATCAGATTTTAGCTCATGTAAAGAATACACAGAACAATTTGAATTAAATATAAAATCTGGTTATGTAGACAACAACGAAAATGGTACACTCCCAGAAGGCTATTGTGGTTATTGTAACTATAATAGTGGCAAAGAGTATTACGATACTTTAGAGTGGTCCAACGATAATAGATGGTGGAACTTTTTAATTTTATGTGGTTATGTTTTATTTAATATTGCTATGACTGTAGGATTCATTTATTTAACCAAGAAAGGAAGAAGATAAAGGTCTAAAATTTATTAAACAAATAAAAAAAAAAAGGAAAAAAAGATATTTTTTTTTTTTATATATCTTTTCCTAATAAATAGTTATTTAATAATATAAAAAATAAAAAGAATTTTATATTTATATTATTTTATCATCCAAAAAAAAAAAAAAAAACTATTTTATTTATCTTTTATTTTAAATTTCTTTTATTTATTAAATAATTTAGGTCCAAGGATAAAAATTTATAAATAATACAGAACCCAAAATATTATAAAATATAAAATAAATTAAAATTAAATTTCTTTTAAGCTTAAAATTTTTTTCTTGATCATCGCTAACAAGCTGGGTAATTGTAGAGGAAGATGAGGTTAGTGATAAAGTTGGAGAGGAGTTTTTTCTATCGATCTTTCTTGGACTTGAGGAGGGTACCATTGTTGGGATATATTTCATAAAGAATTTTGCAGAATACCAAAATATTAATGGTGAGTGAATAAAGAATCTTGTAATTACTTGGACATGCATAAAAGTAACCGAGAAAACAGTAAGAAAAGCCAAATACACTATGAATGGTAAGATGTGAGGAGTGTAGAATATAGTTTCTGAAGTATTGCTGTTATAGCCAAGGAAAAAGAAATGTTTGTGGGTTATTTCTTCGGTTATATTTTTAGATCTTGATTTAAAGGTTGGGTAGATCATTTGATTTGGCTGTCTAAGATAGTAAAATAAATAAGAGACAATAGAACATACAGATATGGCGACCATTGGTGTTGCAAATAGAAAGTTTGGAATTTGTCTGAGTTCATAATAATTGAAAAATCCTTGATTCCAATAGTTGTTTTGAACGAATGAATAAAGATTTGGATATGAAAATTTACTATTTGGATCGACGATACACCATGGTCTTGGCCAATCACCGTTTTTATTTAAAGAGTAGTCGAATGCTGTTATATTTGAATCTGGTGGTGTGGTGCAGTATCTTGAATAACCATAATATTGGAATGCAAAATAGGGCAAAATTACAATGAATGATTGAATTAAAATTAAAACTGGGTACACTATGAAATCCAATAAAATGCTGGAGGTATCTGATGAAACAACTGGTAATTTGTCGAATGAGTTGGAGGGTCTCATTAAATATTTTCCTGAACGTTTTGATAATAAAAGTAAAGGTGATGAAAATCTAAGAACTAATCTTGCCAAATGTGTGATATATTGACTATAGTAAATGTACACTAAATATCCACACATTAAAAATCCATTTGCTCTTGTTGCTGTTGCCAATGCAAAATAAATTGCTGCTTTACTTGTTGATATAATCTTTTCTTTGAGTGGCATACTGTGAGTTCCCAATTCTCTTGTTAAATAATAGTCACCTCCATAAACCTCGACCAATCCACTAAATACCATTAATGAAAATAAATTTTCTGTATAAATCGCTGTTGTAAATATACCTGCTGGATTTATACAATATAGCAAAACCGATGTATAAACAAAATCACTATTATTGAAGATAATATATCCTAACCTAATTAAATAATAAATATTATTGTGTCATTATAAATACTGGGGTTGTTTTTATTGTTATACAACATTTTTTTACTTACTTTAATAATTTAACAGCTGAGATGATAAATGAAATATTACTTATTAAAAACCCGGAAATGATAATATAATCACTAAATGATAAATAACTAAATGTAATATATGATAAAACTAATTTAAATAATATTTATTGTTAATATAATTTATTATTTTATGGAAATTAATAATTAGGAAATATAATTACCTCTTGCTAAAAGATTCATTGAAATTGGGAATAATGGGAAGAATGCATGATTTTGCTCATGCTCGTAGTTGAACTCGGCAATTCTTATAAAATAAATACTATCCCACTTTACGAATATTCTTTTGATTAATAAATTTACAATTGGTGATCCATCATGGTTCTTTAATGTCTCGACTGAAGCAAAATCCCTATTTAAGTTGGCTGATGCATCGACTGTACTATTAAATGTGATACCACCACTGCTACTATTAAATGGTGATAATGAGTTTAAATTTGTTGAACTATCAAAGTTATCTAAAAACTGTGATACAATCAAACAATAAATCCAAATTATTAATTTAATTGTAATTGCAAATTTAACAATTGATGTTCTTTCTAATCTATATTTATTTATTGTTTTCATTTATTATTGAATATACATAATGATTATTATTATTACTATTATTGTTAGTGTTATTGCGGTGATGCAGATGATGTTGATTAAATTTTTAAAAAAAAAAAAAAAAAAAATTAATTTTTTAAAAAATAAAATTAAAAAAAAAAAAAAAATTAATTATAGAAAAATAAAAATAAATATTCTAATAAATAAATATAAAAAGAAATATGGTGGCAATGATAACTGAAATTAAATATCCATTGAAATTTCTTTATATAACTTTTTAAAAATATATTAAAAAAAAATAAAAAATAAAAAAATTTAAAATAAAAAAATTTAAAATAAAAAAATTTTATGAAATTTTATTATTTTAATAAAAAAAAAAAAAAAAGATCAATAAATCATTGAAAATTTAAAGAATAATATAAAATGTCGATAACTGTTGTTGGTGCATCAAATTGGGATATGTTTACATATGTAGATACCATGCCAAGAGTTGGTGAAACAATTAAAGGTAATGATTTTAAAGTTTCATTTGGCGGTAAAGCAGCAAATCAAGTTGTTCAAGCAGCATTATTAGGTTCAAAATGCACAATTATTACAAAACTTGGTGACGATGTTTCTGGTGTGTAAGTTTTGTTTATCTATTAAATGTAATACATATCAAATGTACACTAAATTTATTAATTTATTAATTTTTAGAAATACATTAAAAAATTTTAAAGATAAAAATATAAATTGTGACTACATTTCGATTGTTAAAGATGTACCATCAGGATGTGCAACCATTATTGTTGATAAAAAGGGTGACAATAACATTATTATTGTAGGCGGTGCTAATGATAAACTATCAGTAGAGGATATCGAAAATGCCAAATCACAAATTCAAAACTCATCACTTCTTTTATGTCAACTCGAGGTATCATTGGATGTTACCCTTAAGGCTTTACAAGTTGCCAAAGAGTCTGTAAGTAATACATTATTAAACAATAAACAACAGCCATATAAAATACTAACCAATAATATTATTTAAATATATAGAAATGCAAAACAATATTAAATTTAACACCAATTAATGATAAACCAATTGTATTGGAAATGTTAACTTTTACAGATATTTTAATTGTAAATGAAATCGAACTTTATGGAATTTACAAATCGACATTTAATTCAAGTGATGCCAAAGAGGATGAAAGTGACATCAATGAACTTATTAAAAGAGGTGAACAATTAATTAGCAAATATAATAAAATTGAAAATATTATTGTAACATTAGGTGGCAAAGGTCAATTACTTTTATGCAAAGAACCAAAGGATAACTGTCACATCGAATTAAAAGAAAAAGTTAAAGTTGTCGATACCACTGGTGCTGGTGATAGCTTTATTGGTAGTTTAGCCCATTATTTAACCAAAGGAAGTCCAATGAAGCAATCAATAGAACTTGCCTCAAAAGTTGCCTCGATTAGTGTTACCAGACACGGTACCCAAAGTAGTTATCCATCACTAAGTGAAATTAATTAGTAATAAATAATAATAAATTATAAAAAACTATAAATAATAATAAATAGTAATAAAGATTATTTAAATATTATAAATTTAATAATAAATACTATTGTAATGTAAATGTATACATTAATTAAATTTTAAAAAAAAAACTTTATTTTATTTTGGTGGACGAACTGGGAAATGAGTTCGATTTTGATAATTATCAGAGTCTTCTGAATCATCATCTGAATCATCTTGATAATATTGATCTCTAATTGTTAATTTAGTTGGTAATTGATTTGAAACTGTATTTGAATCATCGTCATCATTTAAATCTTCAGAGGACCAATCTGAGCTATCTGAATCTGTATCTGTATCTGAATCGTCTGAATCGTTATCGTTTTCGTGTTTAATATTGCTTTGTGGTGGAGGTGGAGGAATAGGTATACCGTTATTTGTATTTTGGTTTTGATTTCTATATAAAGGTAGGTCTGATTGATCGGATGATTCAGCTGTAAAAGCTTCGTCATCAGCCATATCAGGGTTATCATAAACAGTTTGTTTGTGTGGAATTGGTGGTAATATAGTCGCAATAGGCGATTGTTCACTTGAAAATACTGGTAATGAGCTATTTAATCCATCTGATGATTTAATTGGTGTTTTCAAACTACTACTATTGTTATTATTATCCTCTTCATCATCTGTAAAATCATCTTCATTTTTAACTTTTTGATTTTTTTGAGACTCCTCTTGTTGTTTTTGTTTTTGTAATAATTTATTATATTGTTTCTCTTCCTTTTCAATTTTTTTAATATTTCTTCTTTCTTTTCTCTCTTCTTTTTCCTTTTTCTTCTTTTCTTTATCTAAAATAGCCTGTTTCTCCATTTGTTCTCTTTTCTTTTTAGGATCATCCTCTAAAAGTGGGTCTATATGTGTTGGTTTTGGTTTTATAGTTGATGCTGATAGAGTCTGAGTTAAACTACTCATATTACCATATAATTTTGCAGCCTCTAATCTCTCTTCACCACTGACTGGTGTTGAATCTAATATCTGTAAATTTTTTAATTTTGAAATAATATATAATCTGTAATCTTTGTACTCTCTTAATGAATGGCCATTAAAAAAATTTGGACATGCTTCGTTCTTTAACATTGAAAATGTACGTATATTTGGAAATGACTCCAATACTTTATCTATAAAAATACTGAGATTACCAATTTGATTACTATTAATCCATAATGTGTGTAGTTGGTTTAATATTGGGAATTTAATATGATGTGATATTTTATTTCCATCTAAAACAAGTGTTGTTAATTTTTTAAATCCTTCTAAAATTGTTAAATCTCTTTAATAAATATAAAAAAATTATTAATAATTTATAATAAAATATAAAATAAAAATTTATAATTACCTTTCTAAATTATTATTCGATAAATCCAACTCCTTTACAAATGGCCCAAATCTGTCTACGATCTGTGGGTTAATTTCATTAATCTCTCTATATGCTAAATCCAAACGTTCAGGAGGTTTTTCATTATCTCTAACTTGTTCTCTGAATACCATTTTTTATTTATTTTATTTTAGTATTATGAACTAATGATAGATTAAAATAATTATATAAATATAATAAAAAGGTTATTTTTCAAAAGGTGGTTATTATCATAAAAATTTAAAAATTCAAAAAAAAAAAAAATAAAAAAAAAAAAAAAAAACAAAAATAAAAATAATTTTTAAAAAAATAAATGAAAAAAATTCTAAAGAATTTTATTGGTATATATATTATTTTTTATTTTTATATATTATAATAAGTGGGAAAAAAAAATTGGTTGAGAAAAAAAAAAAAAAAGGAAAAAAAAAAAAAAGAAAAAATATATAAATAGTTTAAACTTTTTTTTAGACGCTTGAAAAAAAAAAAATAGGTGATCATTAGAGATTGAAGTTTTGTGATTTCTTTTTTTTTTTTTTTTTTTTTTCTTTTAATTTAATTTTTTTAAAAAAATTATTTGTAATTGCAATTTAATTTATAAATTGTTTAATTCTTCATCACTGATACTGTTATAGTAATAGACTGGTGGTGGGCAGAAACCATTGAAAGATGAAGCTGAAGCAGTAGTGTAGGCACCCATATCTGGGAAATAAAGCCAATCGCCGATTTTAAGTTCTGGAATTTGAGTATCACGAGCAATGACATCAATTGAATCGCAAGTTGGACCGAATAAAGTGCATGGAGTTGGTTGTTTGTTGGATGGTTTTAAAAGCATTGGAGTTGGTTTGGCGTGATCGAATTGAATATTGTTGAATGAACCATAGACACCATCGGCTAAATAATAGTTGTATTGTCTCATATTGTTTGAGGTACGACGTGGATGTTGTCTGTTATCTTCTTGTTTGATGATACGTTTTGAGATGACAGTGACAGCTAAAGTGTGACTTTGAGCGGCAAAATATCTACCTGGCTCAGCAATAATTCTAACATTGCTATCAAAGAGTTCAGCAGTTTTTTCACGAATAACGGTTGTGAATTTTTCAAACATCTCATCGTTTGAACCAGAGAAACCACCACCAACATCTACTAAGGTTAAAGTCATATCTAATTTCTTGGCCATTTCGAAAACACTCTTTACCATCTTTAAAGCAGAGTCATAGGCAATGGAATCAAAACAACCACTACCAACATGGAAACTGACACCAACAACTTTTAAGTTCATTTCCTTAGCCATTTCTAATAAATCATAACAATCGTCAATATGAACACCAAATTTGGTACCAAATCTCATTAATGATTTGGAATCATCTGGAGCAATTCTTAATACTAATTCTGCTTCTGGGAAGAATTTTTCAATCTTTTCTAATTCACTGACATTATCAAAAGTCATTAATTTAACATTGTGGGCTCTGGCAAACTAAATATAAAAATAATTTTTAGTAAAAAATAAATAATCAAATAAAAAATATTATTTAAACAACTATACATACTTTGATAGCTGAAATTTGTTTACATGGGTTAGCATAAATAATACGAGTTGGGTCAACACCTAAGTTTAAAACAGTTTCAATTTCAGTTCTTGAAGCGCAATCATATGAAGTGCCTAAAGCATCTAAAACTTTTAAGATACCAATGGTTGGGTTACATTTAACAGCATAAAATGGGGTAACATTTGGTAAATTTTTTTTCCATTTTAAGTATTGTCTAATAATAACAGCGATATCTAAAAATTAAATTAAATTAAATTTATTAATATAATTTTTTTTTTTTTTTTGTGATATTATTTTTAAACAAAAAAAAAAAAAAAAAAAAAACGAAATCAAATTTCGTATTTTTTTTTTTTTTAATGTTCTTAAAGTAATATTTACCTGCAACAAAGAAAGCATCTCTATCAGTTTTATCGAGTAATGATGTAATTAATTCTGGAAGTGAAACTTTTGAAGTATCCCATGATTTAACATCTAATTCTTTTTTAACAATATCTAATTTTTCTATTTTGGTTAAATTTAAAGTAGCTTCTTCAGTCTTTAATTTTTTGGTAGCAACTTCTTCGTTGGTGGAAGTGTTGTTATTTTCAATAACTTCTTCTCCTGATCTTTTTCCGTTATTAGTCATTTTTGTATTATTATAAAAATTTAATTAAATATATAAAAAATGTTTATTATATTCAGGATAGATAGATAATATTAAATGATAGAAATATTTAATAAATTATTAAAGTTTATATATTTGTTTTATAAAATAATATTACTATGAATACGAAAAAAAAAAAAAAAAAAATTTTAGATAAATTAGAAGGTGAAAATGAAAAAAATTTAAAAAAATAAAAAAAAAATAAAATTTAAAAAAAAAAAATAAAAAAATAAAAAAAATATTTTTAAAATAAAAAAAATAAAAAAAAATAAATTTTTTTTTAGAATTTTGAAATAATTATTTTGAACAATTATATTAATATAATTCACCCCCAGACCACCTAATAAATGATATTTTACCTTTTTCATTTTTTTTTTAAATAATACTTTTTATTTGTACGAATAAAGTCGGAAACACTTTTATTATTTATTTTTCTCTAAATAGTTTTTGTATATTTTTGTTCAAAGAGAATTTTAAGATAGAATTTAACAGATATTTTTCATTTAAGATTATTTTATTGAAGATATTTATATTACAAATAAAAAAGGAATTGTTTAAAGTACTAATTAAATTTATTTCTTTTTTCAGATTTAAAGTCTTTTTTTAATATTAAAATTTATATTATTTAATTAAAGAGTTTAATTTGATTAGTTTTTTTTCGAATTTTTTTCTTGATATCATTTTAAGGTAAAAATAGACAGCAGTAATAATTGCAGCTAAACCTATACAACTAGCAAAGATTGCCACAGGGATAATATATTTCTTTGATTTATTGTTACAACTCGATTTGAAATCGGGACTAATTATTACTGAAAAGTCAGGATCGATATAGCATGATGTTTTGCAATGTGGAATGTTAATACCAATGGTTACTGATTCGTTTTGATTCGATATTAATGATGTGGTGATTAATGTTGTGTGTCCATCTGATATTGCTCTGTTTATAAATCTACCATATAGAATCTTGTTGTCTTTGTTGATCGATATATAGTTTAATGTTTGATTGTCTAATATTGATGTTGATGTTGATGCTGATTTACTGTTACAATCGTTCGATGTTGTATCTGATACATTTGATATCATTTGTAATTGTAGTGTATTGAGTGGACTTTGATAGTTGTAATTGTGAATTGATACTGATACTTTAATTGATCCTTTATCTAATTTGAATTCTAAACCTGCGAATGAATATTGAATATCATTTTCTATTTCTTGAATTGATAATACGATTTGACATTCAGTTTCGTTTAATATTTGTGTGAATGTTACATTTGATCCGTTTTTATCATTTGATGTAACATTCCAATTGTTTTGAAGTGGATATTGTTTAACTGTGTCACTGTTGATATCGAGTTCTAATAATGATGTGATTAATATATTGTATGTTGTTTGATCGTTATTTATTGTTGTTGAGCCGTCTGGATTAACTGTACTGTTGGTATTACCATTGTTATTGTTATTGTTATTTGAAGGTGAATTACAATCGAATCCAGTCCATCCTGATTTACATTCGCAAATACCATTTGATGTATTACAAATACCATGGTTAGTATCGGTACAGTTGTTTAAACATGTTTGTTGTTTTGATTGGTATATAAAAAAGTTGAATGATTTCCATGTGATTCCATTTTGATATACGATTACATCTTTTTTACCTGTACCTGCTCCAATGTTGCATGTGATTGTATTTGATGATATTGTATCTATTTTACATTCTTGATTACCGATTGTTACTTTTAAATCTTTATGAATATCCCCGAACCATCCATTCATTGTTACTAATCCACCATCTTCGTATGTTGGTGTAATTGATGATACATAATGATTTGGAGTAAAACAGTTTTCACCAATCCAGTAACTTGTACATTCACAAATACCAGTATTATAGTTACAGTTATTACCATTATATGATTCACAGTTGTCTGGACATGATGTATAGTTGTTGAATACTTCATTACCATCGTTGTTATCTAAATTTAAATTGAATGTTGTTTGTAATTGATCTACTTTGAGTGTGCCTGATACATTATTCAGTTGATTTGGATATGTTGTTAAAGTACATGTGATTTGATAAAATGTTGAATCAGTTACATCACAAGATTTATCACCAATTGTAATTGTTATTTCGGTGATATCGTATGAATAATATAAACCTTTGAATACTAAAATATGATTATTTGATGTTATATTTGATAATAATGGTGGATATGGATCTGGAGTTAATGTAAATTCTTGACCAGTACTTATGAAATTAAATTCGTGAATAGTTCTATCTGGTATATAGTATGCCGCGTTTATTATTGAATTTACCTTTTTGATATAGTCAAACATAATAATTGGATTTGATTGAATTGAACTTAATATATAGCCAAGATTTTGACCCATTAATGATAGTGTTGGAGCAGTTATAAACATTGTCCCATTCCAAGTTATCTGATTAAAATATTTTAGTTTTGGAATGGTTTCTATATTAAAAAAATTAAATGTTAATAAATTAAAATGAGAATTAAAACTAACATAGAATATTTTTAAACTTTACTGCAGGTTGTAACTGTATCATAATTATTAAATGAATTTTGACTAAAACTTAATTTAAAACTTAAATCTCTAAAGTGGCATGTATAACAATCTGGAATTTTGCCTGTCATTGAATTATTTCTAATATTCAAATATACTGAACAATATGAATCGTCAATAGTCCCAGTTATGTAGTTATTTTGAAAATCGAGGATATAAATACTATTATTTGACCCATCCCATTTAGGTAGAGTTCCAGTTATCCTGTTGTAATTTAAATTAAATATGTACATATCTGTTTTTTCAAATATTTTATAATTTGGCACGTCATTTAACAATCCAAAACTATAAGTACTAAATAGTAAAAAATTATTTGTTAGAAGTTTTTTTTTATTTTTATATTTGTTTTTTCATTAAACTTACAAATAAAAAATACCTTTTGGTAATTTTGAAAATGGGAATTGGTTATTATAATTAAATTTTTTAGTATTTTTAATTGTCCTTTTTAAAATTATAGAATTAGTATTTATTTAAAATTTTTTTAATAGTAATAACCTACAAAGACTTTATAACTGTACTTCCTGAAAAATCTATTAAAGAACTTGGAGCTAAAACATCATATCCTATAGTCCTATTATATAAAAGAATGTTAATATATAGAAATAAAGAGTAGCTAATTAAAAATGATTTTATACAAACAAGGAGTTAAGAAAAGAATTATAAATACTAGACTTATTTAAATTTAACAGTATTGATACTGGAATCATTGGATGAGAGGCACCTTTTATTTCAATAGAGTATATAGCATTATGTGTTGAAAGATTTTGAAAAGAGTTGTAGTCAAAATCATTTGATATATAGTAAGTGAAGGTACTGCCTGAGTAAAAATTTTTTACTGATGGTATATTTCTTGTGTAAAGTATAGCTCCTCCTACTCTTAAAGGAAATTTTGGGTTGGTTACAAGGTCATTATTTAAATATACACTTATATCATAATTTTTTGGATCGTTATTTGGATAAATATTAACATATGATTGTAATGGTAAATAAAGATTGGATAGCAAAATCTCTTTTTCGATTTTTGAATTTAAAACAATTTTCAGAGTGTATGCCTTGATTGGGAAGTGAATATTTAAATTTTGATTTGCAATAATATTTCTTAAAAAATAAAATTATAATAAATAAATATAATAAAAATAAAAAAAATTTTATATAATATTTACATTTGAAAATGAGTAGTTGAAAAATTAAAAAAATTTTCATGTAAATTCCACTCCACTATTTCAAAAACTTCAAGAGGTTTTATACAATCAACATCAGTATATTGGATTAGTTGGTCAGTGGTCTGTGGATAATAAAATTGGGTAATTGTATCATCATTTGAACATAAAAAATACTTTTCTAAACAAAAATCTATTGGTCCTTCTGGTGGTTGCATTAGTTGACCTAATTTAGTGGTTAAATCCATATAACATTTTTCTATTAAATAATTTTTAAAAAAGATTAATTAGTATTGCAATTAACAAAAAAAAAAAAAAAAAAAAATAAACCATTACCATCTTCTGGTGTATATTGAATAGATAATATTACAAAAAATAATAAAAAAAAAATAATAAAAATTTTTTTCATAATAAAAAAAGAGAAAACTATTATTACAAGTAAAAATTTTAATATAAAAAAAATAAAAAAATATAATATTTTGAAAAAATTTTAAAAAAAGTTCCAATGTTTTAAAAAAAAATCTAAAATAAATATCAAAAAAAAAAAATTTGATCTGAATAAAATCAATTTTTGATTTTTTAACACTCATTTTTAATTTTTATTATTTTGCCAAACAAGTTTGCACAAATTTGAAATAAAAAAAAAAAACCCACCAAATTTTTAACTTTTTTTCGCATTAAATTTTGTTATAATAAATATGTGACCAAATTTGACCGGCTTTTACAATAAAATAAAAAAAAATTTAACATCCAAATAATTAAAAATAAAAAAAAAATTTATTCTATTTTCTTTTTTTTATTAATTCAATCAGGCTATCAATCCCAACCAGAAAATAATATAATTTTATTAAAAATATTTACACGATAAGAAAACTTTAGAAAAACAATTAATAAATCCAATTTAGTAGATGGAGCTGATGAAATGAAGATAATGCAATAGGTAATGATGAAATTGGTATATATTATGGCTGAATGAAAATAGGCATGAATTAAAAAAAAAATAAAAAAAATAAAAAAATTAAAAATTAAAAAATAAAAATTTTATTATCACATTTATATATACACATCAATAAATCTTTCTTTTTAGATTAATATGTTGTATTCTTTTATAAATTCACTAAAATAAAAAAAAATACATGAAAAAAAATTAAAATTGTTACCATAAAACCCCATATAAAAAAAAAAAAAACTATTTTTCAATAAGTTCAATTCTTTATTTTTATAATATTTTATTTATTGACAGTTAATTCCACAATTTTTTTGCTAAATTCCTTATCTACTTTTCTTTTATGAATAAAATATATAGTGACAGCAATAGCAGATAAACCAATACAACCTGCAACAACTGCAACAGGAATTACATACTTTTTGGAATTATTATTACAATTCTGTTTGAAATCGGGATTCATTATTACTGAAAAGTCAGGATCGATATAGCATGATGTTCTGCAATGTGGAATGTTAATACCAATGGTTACTGATTCGTTTTGACTCGATATTAATGATGTGGTGATTAATGTTGTGTGTCCATCTGATATTGCTCTGTTTATAAATCTACCATATAGAATCTTGTTGTCTTTGTTGATCGATATATAGTTTAATGTTTGATTGTCTAATATTGATGTTGATGTTGATGCTGATTTACTGTTACAATCGTTCGATGTTGTATCTGATACATTTGATATCATTTGTAATTGTAGTGTATTGAGTGGACTTTGATAGTTGTAATTGTGAATTGATACTGATATTTTAATTGAACCTTTATCTAATTTGAATTCTAAACCTGCAAATGAATATTGAATATCATTTTCTATTTCTTGAATTGATAATACGATTTGACATTCAGTTTCATTTAATATTTGTGTGAATGTTACATTTGATCCGTTTTTATCATTTGATGTAATATTCCAATTGTTTTGAAGTGGATATTGTTTAACTGTGTCACTGTTGATATCGAGTTCTAATAATGATGTGATTAATATATTGTATGTTGTTTTATCATTATTTATTGATGTTGAGCCGTCTGGATTAACTGTACTGTTGGTATTACCATTGTTATTATTATTTGAAGGTGAACTACAATCGAATCCAGTCCATCCTGATTTACATTCGCAAATACCATTTGATGTATTACAAATACCATGGTTAGTATCGGTACAGTTGTTTAAACATGTTTGTTGTTTTGATTGGTATATAAAAAAGTTGAATGATTTCCATGTGATTCCATTTTGATATACGATTACATCTTTTTTACCTGTACCTGCTCCAATGTTGCATGTGATTGTATTTGATGATATTGTATCTATTTTACATTCTTGATTACCGATTGTTACTTTTAAATCTTTATGAATATCACCGAGCCATCCATTCATTGTTACTAATCCACCATCTTCGTATGTTGATGTAATTGATGATACATAATGATTTGCAGCTGTGCAATCCTCACCAGACCAGTCAACTTTACAATCGCAAATACCAGTTAATATATCACAAATACCATGGTTATTATCGATACAGTTGTTTAAACACTGTTTTAGATACATATAGAAGTTATCTTCATTCCATGTGATTCCATTTTGATATACGATTACATCTTTTTTACCTGTACCTGGCCCAATGTTACATGTGATTGAATTTGGTGTAACACTAATGATAATACAATTTTCAATACCGATTGTAATTTTTAAATCTTGATGAATATTACCAAACCATCCATTCATTGTTACTAATCCACCATCCTCGAATGTTGATGTAATCGATGATACATAGTGGTTTGCTGGAGTACAATCTATCCCAGTCCAATTACTTGAGAGTTCGCAAACGCCACTATTATAATTACATATATTACCATTATTTGATTCGCAGTTGCCTGGACATGATGTGTAGCTGTTAAACACTTCGTTACCATCGTTGTTATCTAAATTTAAATAAAATAATGTTTCTTGTTGATCTACTTTTATTGTACCTGATACATTATTCAGTTGATATGGATATGTTGTTAAAGTACATGTGATTTGATTAAATGTTGAATCGGTCACAATACAAGGCAAACATCCAATAGTAATTGTTATTTCGGTGATATCGTATGAATAATATAAACCTTTGAATACTAAAATATGATTATTTGATGTTATATTTGATAATAATGGTGGATAAGGATCTGGAGTTAATGTAAACTCTTGACCAGTACTTGTGAATTTTATATTGTGAATAGTTCTACTTAGTTTATAAGATTCATATGAAGCAATATTTGAGTTTCCTTCAATTAAAAATTCAAACCTAATTTTAGGGCTTGATACAATATCATCATAAAGATATCCAATATTTTGGCCAATAATTGAAAGTGCTGGTTTGGTTACTATTTTGTCTTTATCCCAAAAAGTTTGGTTAAAATATTTTAATTTTGGAATAGTTTCTATTTATAAAGTAAAAAAATAAATATTAGAATATAAAATGGTTTTAAAATTAAATGTAAAATCTTTATAAACTTACTGCATTTTCCAATCGATTCTAAATTATCAAATTGATTTCCTTGAAAATAGCCTTTCATAACAACATCACTAAAGTGGCATGTAAAACATTCTGGAATTTTACCTGTCATTTTATTATTTTTTATCATTAATAATACCGAGCAATATGACTCATCTATGGTACCAGTAATTGAATTAAAACTTAAATCTAATGTTGTAATTCTATTATTTGAGCCATCCCATTTTGGTAGACCTCCACCAATGTTGTTTGCTTCAAATGAAATTTTGCTAATATCTGTTCCATCAAAAACTTTATTGTCTGGTAAAATTGTTAGACCCCCAGAAGTAAAATCGCTGAATTAAAATAGAAAAGAGGTTAGAATAAAATTCTAAGGATTTTAGCTTATTCCAATAATTTAATTAAAATAAATAATACAAACAATTGCATAATACCATTGGGAAGTTTTGAAAAAGGAAATTGACCTTTTATATGGAAATTTTTTGTATTTGAAAAGGATCTAATTTAAATAATAAGATTAATACTTTGGATATGATTTTAAATTTTAATTAATTGTAATACAAACATGGCATCTATGATGGTTTTCCCTGAAAAATCTAAAAAATTAGTTGGGGCCATAACGTCATAAGATATATCACTAGGGGAGTTTTTTAAAGAAATTAGTAAATATTAATAAAAAATATAAAATAACTTTTAAATTAATACATACAGTCTTGTAAGTGATGTTCGTGCACCATTAGTTGGATATTCTAATCCCAACAATATTGATAATGGTAATAGTGGATGTGTTGTACCTATTAAATAGACACTGGTAAATGCATTGTGTGTTGATAAATTACTGAAAGAATTGAAATCGAAATCTTGGGTTAAATAATATTTTGTTAAGTCATTTGAATAAACATTAGCCATCGAAGGAATATTTCTTGTTGGAAATTCTATATATTTTATTTCTAAAGGGTTTTCTGGGGTACTTTTTAAATCATTGTTTAAATATACACTATTGTAATTATAGTCCGTAATAAGGTCGGATACAATCATTTTAACATTTTTTTTTAAAGGTTTTTCAATTTTTGATAATAAAAGTGGTGTTTCAACCTTTGATGCCAAAGTGACCGAAAGACTATTTGAATAAATTGGGTATTCGAAACTAATTGTAGGTGATAATACAATATTTCTATAAAACAAAAATTATTATTATTATTATTATTATTATTATTATTATTATTATTATTATTATTATTATTATTATACTTACATATTATCAAAATTTGATGTTGGGAAATTAAAAAAGTCATTGGCTAATATAAATTGGTGAATTATTAGCACTTTAAGTGAAGGACCCAAGCAACTTACATCACTATTCTCTATTTCTTGGCTTGAAGTTTGTGTTCCAATATACTGGATTATATTTTGATTTGAATCGCATGTAAAATAAACATTTGAACAAAAATTTGCAGGAAGGGGTGTAAATACCGGCTTTAGTAAGTAATCTTGAAAAACAAGAACCTATAATTAAAAATAATATTAATATTTTTTTTTTTTTTTTTGGGTCAAAATATATTAAACCAACCTTCTTCTGGGGTATATTGAAGGGAAAAACCCATAACAAAAATTAATAAAATAATTATTATTTTTTTCATTATTTGTTTAGTTATAAAAAAAAAAAAAAAAATTTTTTTTTTTTTTTTTTTTTTTTTTTTTTTTTTTTTTGAAATTTTTTTTTTTTTTAAATTAGAGAATATACGGCACTGGGTTTTGCAATCTTAAATTGGTTTTTGAATTTTTCAGGTTAAAATCACTTATTTTTTTGCATTTTTTTTTAAAAAAAAACGATCATCTTTTTTTTTTATTTTTTATTTTATAATTTTTTATTTTTTTTTATTTTTTTTAATGCAACGCTTTTATTTTTTTTTGGATATTATTGATGTTTTTTTTTTTGAAACAGTTGAAAAATAAATTATTTTAATTTTTTTTTTTTTTTGGTTTCTATTATTATTTTTTTTGTATGATCTTTTTTTATTTCTTTCGTCATCCTGTTTTACATTTTGAAATTTCAAAAGTAAATAAATTTTTAATAATTTTTATTTTATTTTCTAAAACTCTCTAAAAATTATTATTTTTTTGTTTTGTAATTTTTATTTCAACCTTAAAACAAAATAAAAAATAACCCTGTTATTTATTATTATTTTTAAAAGGATAAATTTGAATATTTTCTATTAAGAAGAGTTTTTATTTGTTTTAGGTTGTGGAAAATTGAAATAATAATGGAAATTCAATGTGATTTCAATAGAGGTGTTGTAATAGTTTATTATAACATTCTTTTTATATTTTAATGTAAATTGGAATGATATTGCACATATATATGTTTAAACATAAACTAAAAAATGAATTAATTTTTTTTTTTTATTCGATAAAAATATAAATTAACCCCTAAAAAATGTGGGTACTATATGAGGTTTTTTAATTATTAAAACTAATAGTTTTTTATTTTATTTGGTGGTAACGAAATTTATCATCTGTATTATATTCCTTGTCATCTAATTCATGGTCATAGAGAAACGGAATTTATCTTAACCAGACATATCATTTTTGTCCTTAAGATTCTTTTAATTTAGGGAAGAAATTAATCCCATACTTATTTTATGATGAAACTGAGTCACCTATAATTAATATAAATTAAATTAAATTTTCAAAGACATAAATAAAATAATAGATCTCTTGCTATATCCATTGTTTATATTTAAAATATTACAAATAATTAATTTATTTATTAATAGTGGATAAATTAATAATTTTCTTTTCAAAAATTTTCTTTTGTTTTCTTTTATAAATAAAATATGTGATCACAACAATAGTAGCTACACCGATACAGCTTACAACAACAGCTACTGGAATTACATACTTTTTGGATTTGTTGTTACAGTTTGATTTGAAATCAGGACTAATTATTACTGAAAAGTCAGGATCGATATAGCATGATGTTCTGCAATGTGGAATGTTAATACCAATGGTTATTGATTCGTTTTTACTCGATACTAATGATGTGGTGATTAATGTAGTGTGTCCATCTGATATTGCTCTGTTTATAAATCTACCATATAGAATCTTGTTGTCTTTGTTGATCGATATATAGTTTAATGTTTGATTGTCTAATATTGATGTTGATGTTGATGCTGATTTACTGTTACAATCGTTCGATGTTGTATCTGATACATTTGATATCATTTGTAATTGTAATGTGTTGAGTGGACTTTGATAGTTGTAATTGTGAATTGATACTGATACTTTAATTGAACCTTTTTCTAATTTGAATTCTAAACCTGCAAATGAATACTGAATATCATTTTCTATTTCTTGAATTGATAATACGATTTGACATTCAGTTTCGTTTAATATTTGTGTGAATGTTACATTTGATCCGTTTTTATCATTTGATGTAATATTCCAATTGTTTTGAAGTGGATATTGTTTAACTGTGTCACTGTTGATATCGAGTTCTAATAATGATGTGATTAATATATTGTATGTTGTTTGATCGTTATTTATTGTTGTTGAACCGTCTGGATTAACTGTACTGTTGGTATTACCATTGTTATTGTTGTTATTATTTGAAGGTGAATTACAATCGAATCCAGTCCATCCTGATTTACATTCGCAAATACCATTTGATGTATTACAAATACCATGGTTAGTATCGATACAGTTGTTTAAACATGTTTGTTGTTTTGATTGGTATACAAAAAAGTTGAATGATTTCCATGTGATTCCATTTTGATATACGATTACATCTTTTTTACCTGTGCCTGCTCCAATGTTGCATGTGATTGTATTTGATGATATTGTATCTATTTTGCATTCTTGATTACCGATTGTTACTTTTAAATCTTTATGAATATCGCTGAACCATCCATTCATTGTTACTACTCCGCCATCTTCGTATGTTGGTGTAATTGATGATACATAATGATTTGGAGTATAACAGTTTTCACCGGTCCAGTCTTTGGGGCATTCACAAATACCAGTATTATAGTTGCATATATTACCATTATATGATTCACAGTTGTCTGGACATGATGTATAGTTGTTGAATACTTCATTACCATCGTTGTTATCTAAATTTAAATTGAATGTTGTTTGTAATTGATCTACTTTGAGTGTGCCTGATACATTATTCAGTTGATTTGGATATGTTGTTAAAGTACATGTGATTTGATAAAATGTTGAATCAGTTACATCACAAGATTTATCACCAATTGTAATTGTTATTTCAGTGATATCGTATGAATAATATAAACCTTTGAATACTAAAATATGATTATTTGATGTTATATTTGATAATAATGGTGGATATGGATCTGGAGTTAATGTAAATTCTTGACCAGTGCTTGTAAATTTTATTTTGTGGATAATTCTATTTGGTTTATAAGAAACAGAATTTATTTTTGAATTGGCTTTTACAAGAACATTGAATTGAATTTGTGGACTTGATACCACATTTCCAATACTGTACCCTATATTTTGACCCATTAATGACAATGCAGGTATTGTTACCTTTGAGGCACCGTTCCAAAAAGTTTGGTTATAGTATTTTAATTTTGGGATAGTTTCTATTGGATAGGATAATAGAAATAATAATTAATATTTGATATTAAAGTTGGATTTTTATAATTTTAAATACTTACTGCAAGTTCCAATTGAGTTATAATTATCAAATTCATTTGATTCAAAATTTTTTTGAAAACTTAGGTCATTAAAGTGACATGTAAAACATTCTGGGATTATACCACTCATTTGATTGCTTCCAACATTTAAAATCAAAGAGCAGTATGATTCGTCAATAGTTCCCGTTAAAGAGTTGAAATTCAAATCTAAGTTTGTTATAAAGTTATTTGATCCATCCCATTTTGGTAAACTGCCACTTATTGAGCTTGAAGAAAAAGAAAGTGTGAAAATATCGGTATTATCAAATATTTTAAAATCTGGTATCTTTTTTAAACCTAAACTAATAAATGAGCTATTTATAATAAAAATAGTTTTATTTTAGTTTTTAGATATAATTAAATTATAATAATTGTTAAATAAAAAATAAAACTTACAATTTATTAATGCCATTTGGAAACTTTGAAAATGGAAATTCTCCATTAACATGAAAATTTGAAACACCTGTAAAATATCTGATAATTTAATTAATTTAGTAATTTTATACAAAATGTATTTTAATTAAATTATTTCTCAAAACTTACAAAGAATTTATATTTGTTTTTCCAGAAAAGTCAATAAAATTATTTGGTGCCATAACGTCATATTTTATATCTCTAATAAAAAGAATTTTGGTTAATAAATTGTTAAATAAATAATGATTTATATATATTTATAATACATACAATATTGATGGTAATGCATTTTGTGTATTTAATAATATTGATGATGAAGGGAATGGAATAGAACCACCTTTCAAAGTTAAATGTTCAATATTATCGTATGTTGATAAATTATCGAAAGAGTTAATATCGAAATCATTTGATAGATGATAAGTTAAGGGACGACCACGTGAATCAATATTTGCCATTGATGGAATATTTCTTGTTACAAATTCTGCTTGATTTATTATAAAAGGATTGCTTGGTGTATTGCTTAAATCATTATTAATATATAAACTAAAATCTAAAAAATTTGAGGACGAGGTATCTGGTTTAATAGAAAAAGGTGTTTTTAAAGGAATATTTAAATTTGATAATAAAACTGGTTTTTCTACTCTTGATGATAAAATTACTGTAAGTTTTTCTGATTTTATAGGGTATTCAAAACTTATTGATAAAGGTGAAACCATATTTCTAAGGAATAGATTACAAAAAAACAAAATTAATATATATACTATATGATAATTTATATTGGTCAAATTACAATTCCTTTAGACTCTCAGTTTGGAAATTAAAAAAATTATCGGCTAAATTCCATTTGAAGGTCACCAGACTTTGAAAAAAGGGGCCCATACAATTTACATCACTGTTCTGAATAATTTGATTTGAAGGAGTTGTTATTAAACTGTACGATATAATGTTACTGTTTTGATCACATTTAAAAGATGTTAATGATTGGCAATAATCAGTAGGTACAGCTTCGCCCAATTTATTTAATAGTTTGTTAAAACATTCACCTATAAATATTTATAATTTGTTTTTTGTTTAATTTTTTTATATTTTTTTTATTTTTTAATTATATTAAAACATATTTACCTTCTTCTGGTGTATATTGTATGGATAAACCAATTATTAAAGTAAAAAATAATAAAATTAATATTCCTTTCATAATTATTTGATTTATATGATTAAAAAAAAAAAAAAATGAAAATGAAATTTTTTTTTTTTAATTTTTTAATTTTTTTATTTTTTTATTTTTAAAAATACGTGAAAGGGGCACTGGTTGCCACCTTTTCAATGAACCTGAGTTATTTTTTTTATAAAAAAATAAAAAAAAAAGTAAAAAATAAAAAAAATAAAAAAAATAAAAAAAATAAAAAAAATTTAAAAAAATTCTGGTCCTAATAAAAAAATAAATAAATAAATAAATAAACTTTTTTTATTTAATGTTTATTTAAGATTCGAATCTTTTTTAATATATTCTTTTTTATTAATCTTCGATAATCTAAATAATTTTATTATAATTCTAAATTGTTTTTTTTTCGAAAAAATAAGAAAAATAAGAAAAATAAATACTAAGTAAAAAAAAGAAATATTTTTTTTTTGTTTATTTAATATTATTTTTTTTTTTTTTTTTATTTAAAATCCTCTTTTTATTACAAAATTTAAAATTAAATCAAAATTTATAAAAAATGATTATAGTAATTTTACCAATTTATTAACAAAAATGTACCTATAAATAAAGAAAAAAATATTATTATTATTATTATTATTATTATTACTATTATTATTATTTTTATTATTGGTGTCCACAAAAAAAAAGTGGCAAAAACAATTCAAAGATATGAACAAACAGGTTCAATCGATGACCATCAACGTTCTGGAAGTGAAAAAAAGATTCTTGAAAGAGATGAACGTCTAATATGTTTCAAATTTTTGAATGGTGAGCTGAAGAATGTGAAATTAGCAGTAGTTTGGTATTATTCAACTACAGGCCACACCAGATCAGACTGGTTAGTTAGAAACGTATTGCATAGGAATAACATTGTTTATAAAAAGAAATTCATGAAGCCTCGATTATACCAAGTTAAAAGAAGAAAAAGATATAGTTTTGGATTAGACATAAAAACTGGAATGTGGACCAACGGGAAAATCATATGTTTATGGATGAAGTAAGGTTTCAATAATTTGATAAATACCATTATATAAGATCTTGGGTGAATGAATCTTATGTTTTAGTAGATTCAAATACTTAAACAAGTGTTTGAAAAGGTGGAGATAATGTAATGTTTTGGGAAATTTTGCCAAAATTTTCTATTATATTCCTAGAAATTAAGATCATCTTTCAGAGGGATTATAATCTAATCTCTATATTGATATAATAATAAATGATACTCAACCAAATCTGAGTTAATATGCAGATGGGTTACAGGTGCCTGAGAGGGTTTATGAAAATTGTCATGAGATTTTCTAATCTTATTCACCAAATATGGTTAGGGAGTAAAACTGAAAATTCAAAATTTCAATTAATGAAATACAACATTTAAGCCCCGATTTATATATAATAGATAATCAACGGTCATAAGATAATTAAATGTTCTCAATCCGAATGTTCAGTAAATCAAATCAGAACCCGATCCAATGTCTCATTGACGTTTTTCATTACATCACTTCTGAGATTAAAAATAATTTTTATAAATCTCCTCCAAACAGAAAGGAGCCGATAATTAAAGCTCATGGGGAACATTCAAAATATTAGGTAACTTTATTAATTAAAATCAAAAAATAAAAAGATCGAACCAATTTAAATAAAATCTTTTTTTTATAATTTTATTTAGCCATTTTAATTTTTTTTTTAAGTTTAAAAACTATAATTTTAGTTTTGGTACTTTTTTTATATAATAAATAATAAGCTCCTGCTAAAATGATAATAACAGCTGCACCAATACAGCTTATAAGAACTGCAATTAGAGTAGTATGGTTTTTGGATTCGTCACAGTTTGATTTGAAATTGGAATTAATCAATACTGAAAAGTCAGGATCGATATAGCATGATGTTCTGCAATGTGGAATGTTAATACCAATGGTTATTGATTCGTTTTGACTCGATACTAATGATGTGGTGATTAATGTAGTGTGTCCATCTGATATTGCTCTGTTTATAAATCTACCATATAGAATCTTGTTGTCTTTGTTGATCGATATATAGTTTAATGTTTGATTATCTAATATTGATGTTGAAGTTGATGCTGATTTACTGTTACAATCGTTCGATGTTGTATCTGATACATTTGATATCATTTGTAATTGTAATGTATTGAGTGGACTTTGATAGTTGTAATTGTGAATTGATACTGATACTTTAATTGAACCTTTATCTAATTTGAATTCTAAACCTGCAAATGAATATTGAATATCATTTTCTATTTCTTGAATTGATAATACGATTTGACATTCAGTTTCATTTAATATTTGTGTGAATGTTACATTTGATCCGTTTTTATCATTTGATGTAACATTCCAATTATTTTGAAGTGGATATTGTTTAACTGTGTCACTGTTGATATCGAGTTCTAATAATGATGTGATTAATATATTGTATGTTGTTTGATCGTTATTAATTGTTGTTGAACCGTCTGGATTAACTGTACTGTTGGTATTACCATTGTTATTGTTGTTGTTATTTGAAGGTGAACTACAATCGAATCCAGTCCATCCTGATTTACATTCGCAAATACCATTTGATGTATTACAAATACCATGGTTAGTATCGATACAGTTGTTTAAACATGTTTGTTGTTTTGATTGGTATACAAAAAAGTTGAATGATTTCCATGTGATTCCATTTTGATATACGATTACATCTTTTTTACCTGTACCTGCTCCAATGTTGCATGTGATTGTATTTGATGATATTGTATCTATTTTACATTCTTGATTACCGATTGTTACTTTTAAATTTTGATGAATATCGCCGAGCCATCCATTCATTGTTACTAATCCACCATCTTCGTATGTTGGTGTAATTGATGATACATAATGCTTTGGAGTATAACAGTTTTCACCGGTCCAGTCTTTGGGGCATTCACAAATACCAGTATTATAGTTGCATATATTACCATTATATGATTCACAGTTGTCTGGACATGATGTATAGCTGTTGAATACTTCATTTCCATTGTTGTTATCTAAATTTAAATTGAATGTTGTTTGTAATTGATCTACTTTGAGTGTGCCTGATACATTATTCAGTTGATTTGGATATGTTGTTAAAGTACATGTGATTTGATAAAATGTTGAATCAGTTACATCACAAGATTTATCACCAATTGTAATTGTTATTTCAGTGATATCGTATGAATAATATAAACCTTTGAATACTAAAATATGATTATTTGATGTTATATTTGATAATAATGGTGGATATGGATCTGGAGTTAATGTAAATTTTTGACTAGTACTTGTGAAGTTAAATTCGTGAATAATTCTATTTGGAGTATAGGAACCATATTTTATAAATATTGAATTGGCTTTTAAAATGTAATTAAATTGTATATTTGATTCAATATCACTTACCCAATATCCAATATTTTGACCGATTAATGATAATACTGGTTCTGTTACTATTTTGTTTAGTTTCCAAAAGGTTTGGTTTGAATATTTTAATTTTGGAATAGTTTCTATTTAAAAGTTTTTTTTGAAAAAAATTAATAACAAAAGTATTGATTAAATATCATTTTTATAAACTTACTGCATGTTCCTATTGTATCGTAGTTATCAAATGAATTTTGACCAAAGTTTGATTTTATAAAAGGATCTCTAAAATGGCATGTAAAACATTCTGGAATTTTACCTGTCATTAAATTATTTCTAATATTTAAATTCACAGAACAATAAGATTCATCAATAGTTCCAGTTATTAAATTTGAGTTTAACTCTAAGGTTGTAATATTGTTTTTTGAACCATCCCATTTTGGTAAATCACCAGCTATTTGATTATATAGTAAAGATAACGTATAAATATCTGTATTATCAAATATTTTATAGTTTGGAAGTTTTTTTAATGGACCAGATATAAAATAACTGAAAGTTAATTATTATTAGTGTTTATTATTTTAAATTAAATATTACAATAAACAAAATACATACAATTGAAAAAGACCATTTGGAAGTTTTGAAAATGGGAACTCACCATCAATATGGAAATTCAGAGTATTGGAAAAATATCTATTAATTGTCAAAGTTAAAATTAGTGTTTTTATAATATTGATTTTTTTATTTAAAATAAAATTAACTTACAATATTTTAATGAAAGAGTATCCTGTAAATTCAATAAATGAATTTGGTGTTTGAACATCATAGTCTATTTGGCTTTAATGGATGTGAGAAATATTAATTAAATGTTATAATTAAAAATTATAATATTTAGTTTTATACTTACATAGTAGGAAAAATATTTTCACTATTTGGATCTTTTGAACCTAATAATATTGATAGCGGAACCAGTGGATATGATACTCCTAAACCTCTTAATTGTACATTTTTTATATTATTGTGTGTTGATAAATTTTTGAGAGAATTGAAATCGAAATCACCTGTTAAATAATATGAAAATCCAATATTGGAAATAACATTTGCCATTGATGGGATATTTCTTGTTACAAAATAAGCATTTTGACAAATAAAAGGATCTTCTAAAGTGTTTTCTAAATCATTATTTAAATATAATCCATAATTCAAATTGTTCGACAGTGATAGATCCGGTTCAATTTTAAAAGTATCTTTTAAGGGTGTAGCAAAAAGCGATAGAGACAAAGGTTCTTCAATTCTTTTTCCTAAAGTTGTCCTGAATTTCTTTGAATTGATTGGGTATTTGAAACTTATTGATGGTGTTGATTTCATTTCTCTATATATAGTTTTATTATTAATATTTTTATTTTATTTTTTAATTAAATTTATATAATTACATGTAATCTAGAGACTCTGTTGCAAAATCAAAAAAGTTATCATCCATAATCCATTTGTAGGTAATCATTGTTTTGAGATTAGGTCCAATACATCTTACATCGGTATTCTGTATAACATCATTTGTTAACTGAGCACGTGTTGTAAAATCCATTGTAATTATATTTAAATCTACATCGCATTCAAAATAAGGTATATCTGTGCAAAAATTTAGTGTAGGGGTGTAACCTAGCTTTATTAATAAATTGGAAAAACATGTGCCTATAAATAAAGAATAAAATATTATTATTATTATTATTATTAATATTATTATTAATATTATTATTAAATTTTTTTTTTTTTACTTTCTGATTGCGAATACTGAAGCGAAAAATTAATAAACTGTTTAAGAAAAAATATTATTAGTATCGACATATTGATTTAATTTATGTAAGAAGCTTAAAAAATGGTTTTTTATTTGTGAAAAAGAAAAAAAAAAATATTTTTTTTTATGATATCGTAATTCATAAAAAATTTAAAAAACTTGGGTAAAAAATAAAATTTTTGAGCTTATTTTTAAAACTTTTTTGATTTAAAATTTTTATTTTTAAATTTTTTTTTCTTAACATTAATGGATTTAATTGTGTCGTTGGGGTTACCCATTTCAATACACTACTAATACATTTATTTTATTATATCTTAATTTCCTGAGTTTATATAAAATGAGAAAAAGATGATAATAATAAAATTATATTTTTTTGTATTTGTTCAAAACATAAATAAAACTGACACAGATGTTTGAGGTTATCAAAAAAAAGAAAAAAAGTTGTTAATAAAAAATTCAATTGTAAATTTGAATTCATAAAAATAACATTAATAAAAATATTTTATAAATAAAAAAGATCTTCATTTTTTTAAGGGGGTGTCTCAACAAAAAATTAAGAAATGAAATTTTTTTTTTTTTTTTTTTATATAAATATTTTTTCTTTTTTTTTTTTTAATTATTTTTATTTTTTTTATTATTTTTTCAATTTTTTTTCATTTTTAAATTTATTCCTTTCCAATCCTTCACAAAACCATATTTATTATATAAGTAATATTATGGTGCTATTTACCTTTTTTGTGGCCTCTATTCCTCTTTAAGATTTAGAGTTTAAAAATACTGTTGAAGAATTTTTAATAAAACTATTGTTTTTTATAATTTTATAAATAAAATTTAAAATTAAAAAATAACATTGTTTTTTTTTTTTAACCCATTGTTTTTTATTTATTTAAATTGTTTAATGTGATCATTTTTTTTTCAAAACCTCTATCTTGTTTTCTTTTATAAATAAAATATGTGACTGCAACAATTGCAGCTACACCGACACAGCTTACAACGATAGCAACTGGAATTACATACTTTTTGGATTTGTTGTTACAGTTTGATTTGAAATCAGGACTAATTATTACTGAAAAGTCAGGATCGATATAGCATGATGTTCTGCAATGTGGAATGTTAATACCAATGGTTATTGATTCGTTTTTACTCGATACTAATGATGTGGTGATTAATGTAGTGTGTCCATCTGATATTGCTCTGTTTATAAATCTACCATATAGAATCTTGTTGTCTTTGTTGATCGATATATAGTTTAATGTTTGATTGTCTAATATTGATGTTGATGTTGATGCTGATTTACTGTTACAATCGCTCGATGTTGTATCTGATACATTTGATATCATTTGTAATTGTAGTGTATTGAGTGGACTTTGATAGTTGTAGTTGTGAATTGATACTGATACTTTAATTGAACCTTTATCTAGTTTGAATTCTAAACCTGCAAATGAGTATTGAATATCATTTTCTATTTCTTGAATTGATAATACGATTTGACATTCAGTTTCGTTTAATATTTGTGTGAAAGTTACATTTGATCCATTTTTATCATTTGATGTAACATTCCAATTGTTTTGAAGTGGATATTGTTTAACTGTGTCACTGTTGATATCGAGTTCTAATAATGATGTGATTAATATATTGTATGTTGTTTGATCGTTATTTATTGTTGTTGAACCGTCTGGATTAACTGTGCTGTTGGTATTACCATTATTATTGTTATTTGAAGGTGAACTACAATCGAATCCAGTCCATCCTGATTTACATTCGCAAATACCATTTGATGTATTACAAATACCATGGTTAGTATCGATACAGTTGTTTAAACATGTTTGTTGTTTTGATTGGTATACAAAAAAGTTGAATGATTTCCATGTGATTCCATTTTGATATACGATTACATCTTTTTTACCTGTACCTGGCCCAATGTTGCATGTGATTGTATTTGATGATATTGTATCTATTTTACATTCTTGATTACCGATTGTTACTTTTAAATCTTTATGAATATCGCCGAACCATCCATTCATTGTTACTAATCCACCATCTTCGTATGTTGGTGTAATTGATGATACATAATGATTTGGAGTAATACATTCTTCACCAGAGCATTCACAAATACCAGTATTATAGTTGCATATATTACCATTATATGATTCACAGTTGTCTGGACATGATGTATAGTTGTTGAATACTTCATTACCATCGTTGTTATCTAAATTTAAATTGAATGTTGTTTGTAATTGATCTACTTTGAGTGTGCCTGATACATTATTCAGTTGATTTGGATATGTTGTTAAAGTACATGTGATTTGATAAAATGTTGAATCAGTTACATCACAAGATTTATCACCAATTGTAATTGTTATTTCAGTGATATCGTATGAATAATATAAACCTTTGAATACTAAAATATGATTATTTGATGTTATATTTGATAATAATGGTGGATATGGATCTGGAGTTAATGTAAATTCTTGACCAGTACTTGCGAATTTAATTGTATGAATAATTCTATTTAGTGAATACGAACGAGCGAAAAATTTAGAATTTGCTTTTTCTAAATAATAAAAATCTACATATGGATTTGATTGAATATCGTCTGACGAATATCCAACATTTTGGCCCACTAGTGATAATATTGGTGCGGTTATATATTTACTTCTTAAAAGTATAGTTTCATTCTTGTATTTTAATTTTGGAATGGTTTCTAAATATAAACAAAAAAAATTAATATATTAACATAATATTTTTAGCTATTATATTATATATACTTACTGCATGTTCCTATTGTATCGTAATTATCAAATGAATTTCCATAAAAATATGATTTAAAACTTGGAATAGCAAAGTGACATGTAAAACATTCTGGTATTAATCCTGTCAATAGATTACTGTATACTATTAAAATAACAGAACAATATGATTCGTCAATGGTACCAGTTAGTAAATTTTGCGATAACATTAATGTTGTTATATTATTTTTTGAGCCATCCCATTTTGGTAAATCTTGTGTTAATGGATGAGCATAACATGAAAAATAATAAATATCTGTATAATCAAATATTCTATAGTCTGGGAGTTTTTTTAAATTTCCAATGTTGTAATCACTGTATTAATTTTTGAAAAAGAAATAAAAGTTAATATTATTTTTTTCGGAAAATAAAAATAATATTAATAATAATATTTACAAAAATTGGATTCCATTTGGAAGTTTTGAAAAAGGAAATTCACCTTTAACATGGAAATCGCTAGCTGGAGCAAAAGATCTATATTTGAATTAATTGTTAGTTTTTTTAAATGATTTATTATGATACATATAAAGAAATTACATTGAACTGATGGAGGTTTTTCCTGAAAAATCTATAAATTCTGTTGGTGATTGAATATTATACCCTAAATGTCTTTTTTTGTGTATTTGAAAAAATAAAAATTAATAATTTTAGAAAATATTTTAAATTTTAATTTGAATATTTACACACTATATAGATATGAATTATCATCACTTGTTGGGCCTTCCATATTTAATAATATAGATAATGGAAACATTGGGTAGTTACCACCTTCTATACTTAATTTTGAAATTTGGTTGTGTGTTGATAAATTGCTGAAAGAATTATGATCAAAGTCTTCCCCTAAAAAATATGTTATAATATTAGTTCCTTTTATATTCGCCATTGACGGGATATTTCTTGTAACAAACGAGGCTCGAATGAATGAAAGAGGGTCACTTGGAGTATTGATAAGATCATTGTTTATATATACACTATATTTATTTTGATCTAGTCGATGATTCAGAAAATAACATAAACTTTTCAAAGGCTGAGCAAGTTTTGATAGTAAAATAGGTTCCTCAACTCTTGATTTTAATGTTACAGAGAACTCATTTGATTTAATTGGGTATTCGAAACTTATTGATGGTGATGAAATAATATTCCTATATTTACAATATTTGTGTTTATATTAGTATTGCTGTTGTTTGTGTTTGTGTTGTAATATTTTTATTTTATTATTAAATAATTACATGTAATCTAAAGACTGATTTTCAAAATCAAAAAAGTTATTGGCTATATTCCAATTGTTAGTGCTCATCCATTTGAATTTAGGCCCAATACAACTTATATCAGTATTTTGTATAATTTCATTCGATGTTTGGGGATAATTTTCGAAATCAAGTTTAACTACATTGTTTTGTGTGTCACATTCCAAGTATGGTAACTTGGGCGAGCAAAAATCTGAAGGAATAGGAAAACCTAATTTTGTAAATAGTTTGTTTAAGCACACACCTATAAAATAAAAAATAAAATTTAAAAAAAAAAAAATTGAATTAGTATTAAATAAAATTTTTTTTTTTTTTTTAAAAATTTTTTTTTTTTTTTTTTACCTTCTTCTGTTGTGTATTGTATGGATAAATTAATAAACAATATTATAAATAATAATATTATCAATGGTTTTGTCATTGTTTAATTTTGTTTTTGTTTTTGCGAAAATTTTTATTTTTTTAAAAATAAAATGAATTTATTGCAAATTTTATTTTTTAAAAAAAAAAATATTTTTGGATTTTTATTTTGAAAAATATCTTGGATTTTTAAAAAAATAGGAAAGAATGAGGATTTCAATATGAAAAAAAAATTAAAACACCAACAACGTTTTTAAAAAAAAAAATTTATAAAAAATATACAATAAAAATATTCAATATAATATTAAGTTTTTATATTATATTTAGTTTTTTTTAAATTTATATTTTGAAATTTTATTTTTGGTTCTATTATAATAACAATTCTTTTTCATTTAAATTAAGATGATATTTCTTTGTTTTAAAAACTATTACAATTGTTATTTTATTTATTATTTAAATTATTTAAATTAATAATTTTCTTTTCAAAAATTTTCTTTTGTTTTCTTTTATAAATAAAATATGTGATCACAACAATTGCAGCTACACCGATACAGCTTGCAACGATAGCAACTGGAATTACATAGTTTTTGGATTTGTTGTTACAGTTTGATTTGAAATCAGGACTAATTATTACTGAAAAGTCAGGATCGATATAGCATGATGTTCTGCAATGTGGAATGTTAATACCAATGGTTACTGATTCGTTTTGACTCGATATTAATGATGTGGTGATTAATGTTGTGTGTCCATCTGATATTGCTCTGTTTATAAATCTACCATATAGAATCTTGTTGTCTTTGTTGATCGATATATAGTTTAATGTTTGATTGTCTAATATTGATGTTGATGTTGATGCTGATTTACTGTTACAATCGTTCGATGTTGTATCTGATACATTTGATATCATTTGTAATTGTAATGTATTGAGTGGACTTTGATAGTTGTAATTGTGAATTGATACTGATATTTTAATTGAACCTTTATCTAATTTGAATTCTAAACCTGCAAATGAATATTGAATATCATTTTCTATTTCTTGAATTGATAATATGATTTGACATTCAGTTTCATTTAATATTTGTGTGAATGTTACATTTGATCCGTTTTTATCATTTGATGTTATATTCCAATTGTTTTGAAGTGGATATTGTTTAACTGTGTCACTGTTGATATCGAGTTCTAATAATGATGTGATTAATATATTGTATGTTGTTTGATCGTTATTTATTGTTGTTGAACCGTCTGGATTAACTGTGCTGTTGGTATTACCATTGTTGTTATTATTATTTGAAGGTGAACTACAATCGAATCCAGTCCATCCTGATTTACATTCGCAAATACCATTTGATGTATTACAAATACCATGGTTAGTGTCGATACAGTTGTTTAAACATGTTTGTTGTTTTGATTGGTATACAAAAAAGTTGAATGATTTCCATGTGATTCCATTTTGATATACGATTACATCTTTTTTACCTGTACCTGCTCCAATGTTGCATGTGATTGTATTTGATGATATCGTATCTATTTTGCATTCTTCATTACCGATTGTTACTTTTAAATCTTTATGAATATCACCAAACCATCCATTCATTGTTACTAATCCGCCATCTTCGTATGTTGGTGTAATTGATGATACATAATGCTTTGGAGTATAACAGTTTTCACCGGTCCAGTCTTTTGGGCATTCACAAATACCAGTATTATAGTTGCATATATATCCATTGCAGTTGTCTAGACATGATGTATAGTTGTTGAATACTTCATTACCATCGTTGTTATCTAAATTTAAATTGAATGTTGTTTGTAATTGATCTACTTTGAGTGTACCTGATACATTATTTAGTTGATTTGGATATGTTGTTAAAGTACATGTGATTTGATAAAATGTTGAATCAGTTACATCACAAGATTTATCACCAATTGTAATTGTTATTTCAGTGATATCGTATGAATAATATAAACCTTTGAATACTAAAATATGATTATTTGATGTTATATTTGATAATAATGGTGGATATGGATCTGGAGTTAATGTAAATTTTTGACCAGTACTCTTGAAACTTATTTCGTGAATAATTCTATTTGGAGTATAGGAATCATATGCAATAATTATTGAATTGGTTTTTAATATTAAATTAAATAGAATATTTGATTCAATATCACTTACCCAATATCCAATATTTTGACCTATTAATGATAATACTGGTTCTGTTACTTTTTTGTTTAGTTTCCAAAAGGTTTGGTTTGAATATTTTAATTTTGGAATAGTTTCTATTGTAAAATTTTAATAAAAAGAAATATTATTATTAATAAAAATAATAAAAATAATTGAAATAATATATTTATATACTTACTGCATGTTCCAATTGTATCGTAGTTATCAAATGAATTTTGTTTAAAGTTTGATTTAAAAGCAGTATCACTAAAATGGCATGTAAAACATTCTGGAATTTTACCTGTCATTAAATTATTATTAATATTTAAAAACACAGAGCAATAAGATTCATCAATAGTTCCAGTTATTAAATTTGAGCTTAACTCTAAGGTTGTAATATTGTTATTTGAACCATCCCATTTTGGTAAATCACCACCTATTTGATTATAATATAAAGATAACGTATAAATATCTGTATTATCCAATATTTTATAATTTGGAAGTTTTTTTAATGGACCAGATGTATAATAACTGAAATTTTATTATTATTAGTGTTTATTATTTTATAATTGCAATAATAATAGAAATAATACATACAATTGTAAAAGACCATTTGGTAGTTTTGAAAATGGTAATTCACCATCAATATGGAAATTCAGAGTATTAGAAAAATATCTTTTAATTATCAAAGATAAAATTAGTGTTTTTATAATATTATTTTTTTTATTTAAATTAAAATTAACTTACAAACTTTTAATAAAAGAATATCCTGTAAATTCAATAAATTCATTTGGTGTTTGAACATCATAGTCTATAAGGCTTTAATGGGTGCGATAAATATTAATTAAATGTTATAATTAAAAATTATTATATTTAGTTTTATACTTACATAGCATTTTCACTATTTGGATCTTTTGAACCTAACATTATTGATGGTGGAACCAGTGGATAAGATAGACCTGGGAAACTACTTAATTGTACCATTCGTATACTATTATGTGTTGATAAATTTTTGAAAGAATTGAAATCGAAATCACTTGTTAAATAATATGAAAATATACCATTGGAAATAACATTTGACATTGATGGGATATTTCTTGTTACAAAATAGGCAGTTCGACAAATAAAAGGATTGCTTAAAGTGTTTTCTAAATCATTATTTACATATAATCCATAATTCATATTGTTTGATAGTGTAAAATCTGGGTCAATTTTAAAAGTATCTTTTAAAGGTGTAGTAAAAAGCGATAGAGACAAAGGTTCCTCAATTCTTTTTCCTAAAGTTGTAGTGAATTTCTTTGAATTGATTGGGTATTTGAAGCTTATTGATAGTGGTGATACCATTTCTCTATATTTTATTATTGTTATTGTTATTATTATTAATATTAATATTTTATTTTATTTTAATTATAATTACATGCTATCTAGAGACTCTGTTTCAAAATCAAAAAAGTTATCATCTATATTCCATTTATAGGTAATCATTGTTTTGAGATTAGGTCCAATACATCTTACATCGGTATTCTGTATTACTTCATTGGATAACTGAGGATGTCCATAAAAATCCATTTTAATTATATTTAAAACTTCATCGCATTCAAAATAAAGTGTATCTGTGCAGAAATTTAGTGTAGGGGGAAATCCTAGCTTTATTAATAAATTGTTAAAACATGTACCTATAAATAAAGAATAAAATATTATTATAATTTTTATTCTTATTATTATTATTTATTTTTATTAAATAATTTATTTACTTTCTGATTGTGAATACTGAAGTGAAAAATTAATAAATAATTTTATGAAAAAAATTATTATTAGTGTTGACATATTGATTATATATTTACGAAAAAGAAATTTTTTTTTTTTATATAAAAAACTTGAGGCAAAGATTTTTTTAAAAGATCTGGATATTTTTTTTATGAAAATAATTAAAAAAAAATAAAATGTAAATAAATTTTTTGTAATTTTGCTTTACCCCATTTTATTTTTTAAAAACATTGTGATATTCTTATGCTTTTTTAAATATTTGATTACCAAAATAAAAAAAGATAAATATTATATTTGCAAATAAAAATAATAATAAAATTTAAATTTAATTTTTTTCAAAAAAATAATAAAATATTCAAAAATTGAAAACATGATAAAAATATTATCATTTTTATTATTTTTTCCATAAAAATTCCTTTTATTCAATGATGAAAAAAATATACAAAAATGATAAAATTTTTCAAAACTAGATCTAACCAATTTAAAAGAAAAAAATGGTTTTATAATTTTTTATCATTTAAATAAAGATATTTCTTTTGTTTTTAAAAATATTATAATAGTTATCTTATTTATTATTTAAATTATTTAAATTAATAATTTTCTTTTCAAAAATTTTGTTTTGTTTTCTTTTATAAATAAAATATGTAATCATAACAATAGCAGCTACACCGATACAGCTTACAACAACAGCTACTGGAATTACATACTTTTTGGATTTGTTGTTACAGTTTGATTTGAAATCAGGACTAATTATTACTGAAAAGTCAGGATCGATATAGCATGATGTTCTGCAATGTGGAATGTTAATACCAATGGTTACTGATTCGTTTTGATTCGATATTAATGATGTGGTGATTAATGTTGTGTGTCCATCTGATATTGCTCTGTTTATAAATCTACCATATAGAATCTTGTTGTCTTTGTTGATTGATATATAGTTTAATGTTTGATTGTCTAATATTGATGTTGATGTTGATGCTGATTTACTGTTACAATCGTTCGATGTTGTATCTGATACATTTGATATCATTTGTAATTGTAATGTATTGAGTGGACTTTGATAGTTGTAATTGTGAATTGATACTGATACTTTAATTGAACCTTTATCTAATTTGAATTCTAAACCTGCAAATGAATATTGAATATCATTTTCTATTTCTTGAATTGATAATACGATTTGACATTCAGTTTCGTTTAATATTTGTGTGAATGTTACATTTGATCCGTTTTTATCATTTGATGTAATATTCCAATTGTTTTGAAGTGGATATTGTTTAACTGTGTCACTGTTGATATCGAGTTCTAATAATGATGTGATTAATATATTGTATGTTGTTTGATCGTTATTTATTGTTGTTGAACCGTCTGGATTAACTGTACTGTTGGTATTACCATTGTTATTATTATTTGAAGGTGAATTACAATCGAATCCAGTCCATCCTGATTTACATTCGCAAATACCATTTGATGTATTACAAATACCATGGTTAGTATCGATACAGTTGTTTAAACATGTTTGTTGTTTTGATTGGTATACAAAAAAGTTGAATGATTTCCATGTGATTCCATTTTGATATACGATTACATCTTTTTTACCTGTACCTGCTCCAATGTTGCATGTGATTGTATTTGATGATATCGTATCTATTTTACATTCTTGATTGCCGATTGTTATATTCAAATCTTGATGAATATCACCGAACCATCCATTCATTGTTACTAATCCACCATCTTCGTATGTTGGTGTAATTGATGATACATAATGATTTGGAGTTAAACAGTTTTCACCGGTCCAGTCTTTTGGGCATTCACAAATACCAGTATTATAGTTGCATATATTACCATTATATGATTCACAGTTGTCTGGACATGATGTATAGTTGTTGAATACTTCATTACCATTGTTGTTATCTAAATTTAAATTGAATGTTGTTTGTAATTGATCTACTTTGAGTGTACCTGGAACATTATTCAGTTGATTTGGATATGTTGTTAAAGTACATGTGATTTGATAAAATGTTGAATCAGTTACATCACAAGATTTATCACCAATTGTAATTATTATTTCAGTGATATCGTATGAATAATATAAACCTTTGAATACTAAAATATGATTATTTGATGTTATATTTGATAATAATGGTGGATATGGATCTGGAGTTAATGTAAATTTTTGACCAGTACTTGTGAATTTTATATTGTGGATAATTCTATTTGGAGTATAGGAACCATATGTAATAAATATTGAATTGGCCTTTAACATGTAATTAAATGGTATATTTGATTCAATATCATATTCTGAATATCCAATATTTTGACCGATTAATGATAATACTGGTTCTGTTACTATTTTGTTTAGTTTCCAAAAGGTTTGATTTAAATATTTTAATTTTGGAATAGTTTCTAAAATTGTAAAATTATAATAAAAAGAAATATATTAGTATTAATAATAATATTAATTTAAATAATATATTTTATAAACTTACTGCATGTTCCAATTGTATCGTAGTTATCAAATGAATTTTGTTTAAAGTTGAGTTTTATAAAAGGATCGCTAAAATGGCATGTAAAACATTCTGGAATTTTACCTGTCATTGAATTATTAAAAATAAGTAAACGCACAGAGCAATAAGATTCATCAATAGTTCCAGTTATTAAATTTGAGCTTAACTCTAAGGTTGTTATATTGTTTTTTGAACCATCCCATTTTGGTAAATCACCAATAATTTGATTAGAATCAAAAGATAACTGATAAATATCTGTATTATCAAATATTTTATAGTTTGGAAGTTTTTTTAATGGCCCAGATATATAATAACTGAAAGTTAATAATTATTAGTGTTAATTCTTTTATATTTGCAATAACAATAAAAATAATAATACATACAATTGAAAAAGACCATTTGGAAGTTTTGAAAATGGAAATTCACCATCAATTTGGAAATTATAAGTATTGGTAAATGTTCTATTAATTATCAAAGATAAAATTAGTGTTTTTATAAAATTAAGTTTCTTATTTATAATAAAATTAACTTACAAACTTTTAATGAAAGAGTATCCTGTAAATTCAATAAATTCATTTGGTGTTTGAACATCATAGTCTATAAGGCTTTAATGGGTGCGATAAATATTAATTAAATGTTATAATTAAAAATTATAATATTTAGTTTTATACTTACATACCAGGAAATATATTTTCATTAATTGGATCTTTTGAACCTAACAATATCGATAGCGGAACTAGTGGATAAGAAACACCTGGGAAACTAGTTAATTGTACCATTCTTACATTATTGTGTGTTGACAAATTTTTGAGAGAGTTGAAATCGAAATCACTTGTTAAATAATATGAAAATATACCATTGGAAATAACATTTGACATTGATGGGATATTTCTTGTTACAAAATAAGCATTTAGACAAATAAAAGCATCTTCTAAAGTGTTTTCTAAATCATTATTTAAATATAATCCATAATCCATATTGTTTGATAGTGATGGATCTGGTTTAATTATAAAAGTATCTTTTAAGGGTGTAGTAAAAAGCGATAGAGATAAAGGTTCTTCAAATCTTTTTCCTAAAGTTGTAGTGAATTTCTTTGAATTGATTGGGTATTTGAAACTCATTGATAGTGGTGAGATCATTTCTCTATATTATTATTAATATTTTAATTTTATATAATTTTTTATTTTTATTTTATTTTTTTTATAATTACATGTAATCTAGAGACTCTGTTGCAAAATCAAAAAAGCTATCATCTATATTCCATTTGTAGGTAATCATTGTTTTGAGATTTGGTCCAATACATCTTACATCGGTATTCTGTATAGCATTAATTGTTAACTGAGGACGTTTAGGAAGTGAAGAAAAATCCATTGTAATTATATTTGAATTTTTGCATTCAAAATAAGGATCTGTGCAAAAATCTATTGGAGGGCTGTAACCCAACTTTGTTAATAAATTGTTAAAACATGTACCTATAAATAAAGAATAAAATATTATTATTATTATTATTATTATTATTATTATTATTATTATTTTATTTACTTTCTGCTTGTGAATACTGAAGTGAAAAATTAATAAATAATTTTATGAAAAATATTATTATTAGTGTTGACATATTGATTTTATATTTACAAAAAAGAATTATTTTTTTTTTTTATTTAAAAATTGCTGCTATCAAATACCGAATATTTTTTTTTTTATAAATATCTGGATTTTTTTTGATGACAATAATCGTAACATTTTATTTTTTTCCCATTTTTTTTGCAATTTTCCTCCTCCTTTTTATTTTTTAAACAGATATGTGTGATATTCTTATGTTATTTTAAATATTTGATTACCAAAATAAAAAAGTGATAAATATAATTATTTGCAAATAAAATAAAAATTATAAAAAAATATCAAAATTAAAAAAAAATTTTATAAAAATTTTAGAAAAATTTTAAAAAATTTTAAATTTTTTTAAAACAATGGTGAATAATTATATATATTTATTTATTTTATTTATATATATCCGAAATGACCTAAAATTGAAACAATATAAAAATAATAATATTTTTTATCATGATTACATTGAAACACAAATAAAACTGACACAGAAAGTTGATCAAAAAAAAAATAATAAAAACAATTTCTATAGAAAAGATATGGTTAACAACTATTAGTTGTCCTATATTGCCCTTTTGCATAAAACTTCCTTTTATTTTATTCAATGATAAAAAAATAAACAAAAATCATTACATTTTTCAAAACTAGATCAAACCAATTTAAAAAAAAAAAAAAAAAATGGTTTTATAATTTTATTTAGAATTTAAATAAGGCGATATTTCTCTTGTTTTAAAACTATTATAATAGTTATTTTATTTTTTATTTAAATTATTTAAACTAATAATTTTCTTTTCAAAAAATTTGTTTTGTTTTCTTTTATAAATAAAATATGTGATCACAACAATTGCAGCTACACCGATACAGCTTGCAACGATAGCAACTGGAATTACATAGTTTTTGGATTTGTTGTTACAGTTTGATTTGAAATCAGGACTAATTATTACTGAAAAGTCAGGATCAATATAGCATGATGTTCTGCAATGTGGAATGTTAATACCAATGGTTATTGATTCGTTTTGATTCGATACTAATGATGTGGTGATTAATGTTGTGTGTCCATCTGATATTGCTCTGTTTATAAATCTACCATATAGAATCTTGTTGTCTTTATTGATCGATATATAGTTTAATGTTTGATTGTCTAATATTGATGTTGATGTTGATGCTGATTTACTGTTACAATCGTTCGATGTTGTATCTGATACATTTGATATCATTTGTAATTGTAATGTATTGAGTGGACTTTGATAGTTGTAATTGTGAATTGATACTGATACTTTAATTGAACCTTTATCTAATTTGAATTCTAAACCTGCAAATGAGTATTGAATATCATTTTCTATTTCTTGAATTGATAATACGATTTGACATTCAGTTTCGTTTAATATTTGTGTGAATGTTACATTTGATCCGTTTTTATCATTTGATGTAATATTCCAATTATTTTGAAGTGGATATTGTTTAACTGTGTCACTGTTGATATCGAGTTCTAATAATGATGTGATTAATATATTGTATGTTGTTTGATCGTTATTAATTGTTGTTGAACCGTCTGGATTAACTGTACTGTTGGTATTACCATTGTTATTGTTGTTGTTATTTGAAGGTGAACTACAATCGAATCCAGTCCATCCTGATTTACATTCGCAAATACCATTTGATGTATTACAGGTACCATGATTAGTGTCGATACAGTTGTTTAAACATGTTTGTTGTTTTGATTGGTATATAAAAAAGTTGAAAGATTTCCATGTGATTCCATTTTGATTTACGATTACATCTTTTTTACCTGTACCTGGCCCAATGTTGCATGTGATTGTATTTGATGATATCGTATCTATTTTGCATCCTTGATTTCCGATTGTTATATTCAAATCTTGATGAATATCACCGAACCATCCATTCATTGTTACAAATCCGCCATCTTCGTATGTTGGTGTAATTGATGATACATAATGATTTGGAGTATAACAGTTTTCGCCGGTCCAGTCTTTGGGACATTCACAAATACCAGTATTATAGTTACATATATAACCGTTGCAGTTGTCTGGACATGATGAATAGTTGTTGAATACTTCGTTACCATCGTTGTTATCTAAATTTAAATTGAATGTTGTTTGTAATTGATCTACTTTGAGTGTACCTGATACATTATTTAGTTGATTTGGATATGTTGTTAAAGTACATGTGATTTGATAAAATGTTGAATCAGTTACATCACAAGATTTATCACCAATTGTAATTGTTATTTCAGTGATATCGTATGAATAATATAAACCTTTGAATACTAAAATATGATTATTTGATGTTATATTTGATAATAATGGTGGATATGGATCTGGAGTTAATGTAAATTTTTGACCAGTACTCTTGAAACTTATTTCGTGAATAATTCTATTTGGAGTATAGGAATCATATGCAATAATTATTGAATTTGCTTTTAGCATGAGATTAAATTGTATATTTGATTCAATATCATTTTGTGAATATCCAATATTTTGACCGATTAATGATAATACTGGTTCTGTTACTATTTTGTTTAGTTTCCAAAAGGTTTGATTTAAATATTTTAATTTTGGAATAGTTTCTATTTATAAATTATAATAAAAAGAAATATATTAATATTTTTTGATAATATTTAATTAAATAATATATTTTATAAACTTACTGCATGTTCCAATTGTATCGTAGTTATCAAATCCATTTTGCATAAAGTTTGATTTAAATGCAGTATCGCTAAAATGGCATGTAAAACATTCTGGAATTTTACCTGTCATAAAATTTCCACCAATATTTAAATACACAGAGCAATAAGATTCATCAATAGTTCCAGTTATTGAATTGGCGCTTAAATCTAATATTACTATACTGTTTTTTGAACCATCCCATTTTGGTAAATCACCAACAATTAGGTTTGCAGAAAAAGATAATTGAGAAATATCTGTATTATCAAATATTTTATAATTTGGAAGTTTTTGAAGTCTCCCTATATAATATAAACTGTAAGTTAATTATTAGTGTTTATTCTTTCATAATTGCAATAATAATAAAAATAATAATACGTACAATCTTAAAAGACCATTTGGAAGTTTTGAAAATGGAAATTCACCATCAATGTGGAAATTCGGAGTATTGAAAAAAATTCTATTAATTATCAAAGATAAAATTAGTGTTTTTATAATATTATTTTTTTTATTTAAAATAAAATTAACTTACAAACTTTTAATGAAAGAGTATCCTGTAAATTCAATAAATTCATTTGGTGTTTGAACATTATATTCTATATTGCTTTATTGGGTGCGATAAATAATTATTAAATGTTATAATTAAAAATTATAAATTAAAAATTTAGTTTTATATACTTACATAGTAGGATTCACATTTTCACTATATGAACCCAACAATATCGATGGCGGAACCAGTGGACAAGATACACCAGGTATACCACCTAATCGTAAATTTTTTATATTATTGTGTGTTGATAAATTTGTGAAAGAATTGAAATCGAAATCGCTTGTTAAGTAATATGAAAATTCACCATTGGAAATAACATTTGACATTGATGGGATATTTCTTGTTACAAAATTGGCATCTTTAAAAATAAAAGGAACATTTGAAGTGTTTTCTAAATCATTATTTATATAAATTCCATTATTCCAATTGCTCGATTGTGTATAATCTGGGTCAATTTTAAAAGTATCTTTTAAAGGTGTAGTAAAAAGCGATAGAGACAAAGGTTCTTCAATTCTTTTTCCTAAAGTTGTGGTGAATTTTTTTGAATTGATTGGGTATTTGAAACTTATTGATTGTGGTGATTTCATATCTCTAATTATTATTTTATTTTATTTTATTATTATTGTTAATATTTTATTTTTATTTTATTTAATTTAATTTATTATTTTTATTTTAATTTAATTTATTAATTTATTTTTATTTTATTTTATTTATAATTACATGTAATTTAGAGACTCTGTTGCAAAATCAAAAAAGTTATCATCTAAATTCCATTTAGAGGTAATCATTGTTTTGAGATTAGGTCCAATACATCTTACATCGGTATTCTGTATAACATCATCTGTTAACTGAGGTCGTGAAGACAAATCCATTATAAATATATTTAAATTTACATCGCATCCAAAATAAGGTGAATCTGTGCAAAAATCTTCTGGAGCGCTGTAACCCAGCTTTGTTAATAAATTGGAAAAACATGTACCTATAAATAAAGAATAAATATTATTATTATTATTTTTATTTAAATTTATTATTATTTTATTTACTTTCTGATTGTGAATACTGAAGCGAAAAATTAATAAATAATTTAATAAAAAATATTATTATTAGTATTGACATATTGATTTTATATTTATTTTTATTTTTTATGAAAAAAAAAAAAAAAAATACAAAGTTATAAAATGCTTCACACAAAATTGTTTTTTAAAAATATCTTGATTTTTTGAAATATCATTACATTTTTTTTTAGAAAATTCTAAATATTTATTTATTTCATAAAAATTATCTTTATAAAATTTTTTATTTTTATGAAGATAATTTCAAAAAAAATTATTTTTTTAAAAAAAACTTTAAAATATTTTTTTAATTTTTTTTATTTAAAATTTTAGTAAAAAAAAAACAATGTTTAGAATTATTATTTTCTTGGTATAAATCAATAAGTTAATCGCAACTACGTTTATATTACCACAGGTCGAAGGTAATAATGATAATTCACCAAGAGGTTCATCGATAATATTATAAATATATGCAATTGTAATGATTGTTTGGTTATGTTTTTCCCACACATCTACAACCGATAAGTCCTATCGATTAGTCTATACTTTTCAAGTATTTTCCATTTCTCTAATTGTCACCAAGCTCTTTCTATTAGAGAACGATATTTTGAAATACTTTGGTTTAATTCACCCTTGCATTTTGAATATATTTCCAATATATCATTTTCACAATATTGCTTAATTTTAGGAAATTCTGCTTCAGCAACCAAAAATTCTGCATCTGTAAGCGATCCAACAACTTCTACTAAACTAAGAAAATTAAATGATACCTGATCAGGTATAGATCTTTGGAAAGAATGGGAAAGATATTGAAGCTTTCCTAATCCATCAACAATACCAATTGGCATCATGAAAAAATGCAACATCAACACTCAGAGGTAGATTATACAATCTAAAAACATACTGCCTATCACAACTAACATTACACATGTACATCAACGACATAATAACATTATACGAATTTTAGGACACATGCACCAGAAACATATACAACACAAATTATAAAATGACAATAAACAGGGAAAGTGAAAGAAAATATTACGAAAAAGCAGGTTTAGGTTTATGGGATTTAGAAACAAGAGCAAAAGCACAGAAAGCTATATCAGAGCAATCCATCCCAACTCAAGAAAGAATCAATCATTCCAAATATTTGGTTGGAGAAAGTGAATATAAAACGAAATGTAAAGATGCATGGACACAACTTCTACCAACACCTCGAAAAAATATACATCTGGAAAGCTACAGAACCTTATCGATGAATTTCAAATAACACAAAATTAAATAAATTAAATATTATTACTGTATTTTAAAAGTAAATTAATAAAAGTTGTGTTAACCTTTGCTCCATTTTAATTGGAGGGATAAGTCAAAAATTCGTGGTTAACAATTAATACAAAAAAATATAATTTCTAAATTGTTTTTTAAGTGCGATGCTTGTTGGGTTAGATTACCATCCATAAATAGAGTAAAACTGTTTGAAACATTGAACTCATTTCTTTCAAACCAGATTCCACATCCCAACCTTTCTTCTTAACATGGTAAGAGATGAATAATATATTAGTTTAAAAAATTATGTTTGCAATTACACATTCGTTTGAATAATGTAGTTGCTTGTATCAATTTTATTACTAGGACTTCATATGGTATAATGTACAGTCGTAATCTGTAATATATTTTTATTATTTTTTTAAACGTGCTTTTTGTTTTGCAAAAGAGATTGTCCATTTTAAAAGTTTATTCTTTTTGATAATTGTTACAAATTTTTTTTCATCCTATATAACACTTTCTTTTAAGACATGTTTTAAAATTTAATAAATTTATATATGAAATTTTAGTTTCAGTTCTTTTATAATAACAAAACTTTTGCATTTAAATAAAGATTATATTTCTTTTGTTTTAAAAACTATTACTAGTTATCTTATTTATTTTTTTAAATTATTTAAATTAATAATTTTCTTTTCAAAAATTTTGTTTTGTTTTCTTTTATAAATAAAATAAGTGATCACAACAATTGCAGCTACACCGATACAGCTTACAACGATAGCAACTGGAATTACATAGTTTTTGGATTTGTTGTTACAGTTTGATTTGAAATCAGGACTAATTATTACTGAAAAGTCAGGATCGATATAGCATGATGTTCTGCAATGTGGAATGTTAATACCAATGGTTACTGATTCGTTTTGACTCGATATTAATGATGTGGTGATTAATGTTGTGTGTCCATCTGATATTGCTCTGTTTATAAATCTACCATATAGAATCTTGTTGTCTTTGTTGATCGATATATAGTTTAATGTTTTATTGTCTAATATTAATGTTGATGTTGATGCTGATTTACTGTTACAATCGTTCGATGTTGTATCTGATACATTTGATATCATTTGTAATTGTAATGTGTTGAGTGGACTTTGATAGTTGTAATTGTGAATTGATACTGATACTTTAATTGAACCTTTATCTAGTTTGAATTCTAAACCTGCAAATGAATATTGAATATCATTTTCTATTTCTTGAATTGATAATACGATTTGACATTCAGTTTCGTTTAATATTTGTGTGAATGTTACATTTGATCCGTTTTTATCGTTTGATGTAATATTCCAATTGTTTTGAAGTGGATATTGTTTAACTGTGTCACTGTTGATATCGAGTTCTAATAATGATGTGATTAATATATTGTATGTTGTTTGATCGTTATTAATTGTTGTTGAGCCGTCTGGATTAACTGTACTGTTGGTATTACCATTGTTATTGTTGTTGTTATTTGAAGGTGAACTACAATCGAATCCAGTCCATCCTGATTTACATTCGCAAATACCATTTGATGTATTACAAATACCATGGTTAGTATCGATACAGTTGTTTAAACATGTTTGTTGTTTTGATTGGTATACAAAAAAGTTGAATGATTTCCATGTGATTCCATTTTGATTTACGATTACATCTTTTTTACCTGTACCTGCTCCAATGTTGCATGTGATTGTATTTGATGATATCGTAACAATTTTGCATCCTTGATTACCGATTGTAATATTCAAATCTTTATGAATATCGCTGAACCATCCATTCATTGTTACAAATCCGCCATCTTCGTATGTTGGTGTAATTGATGATACATAATGGATAGGAGTATAACAGTTTTCATCGGTCCAGTCTTTGGGGCATTCACAAATACCAGTATTATAGTTGCATATATAACCGTTGCAGTTGTCTGGACATGATGTATAGTTGTTGAATACTTCGTTACCATCATTGTTATCTAAATTTAAATTGAATGTTGTTTGTAATTGATCTACTTTGAGTGTGCCTGATACATTATTTAGTTGATTTGGATATGTTGTTAAAGTACATGTGATTTGATAAAATGTTGAATCAGTTACATCACAAGATTTATCACCAATTGTAATTGTTATTTCAGTGATATCGTATGAATAATATAAACCTTTGAATACCAAAATGTGATTATTTGATGTTATATTTGATAATAATGGTGGATATGGATCTGGAGTTAATGTAAATTTTTGACCAGTACTCTTAAAACTTATTTCGTGAATAATTCTATTTGGAGTATAGGAACCATATGCAATAATAATTGAATTGGCTTTTAAAATGTGATTAAATTGTATATTTGATTCAATATCATATTCTAAATATCCAATATTTTGACCGATTAATGATAATACTGGTTCTGTTACTTTTTTATTTAGTTTCCAAAAGGTTTGGTTTAAATATTTTAATTTTGGAATAGTTTCTATTTAAAAATTATAATAAAAAGAAATATATTAATATTTATTATAATATTTATATTAATAATAAATTTTATAAACTTACTGCATGTTCCTATTGTATCGTAGTTATCAAATGAATTTTGACCAAAGTTTAATTTAAAATTAATATCGCTAAAATGGCATGTAAAACATTCTGGAATTTTACCTGTCATTAAGTTTCTATTAATAATTAAATACACAGAGCAATAAGATTCATCAATAGTTCCAGTTATTGAATTGGAGGTTAAATCTAAGGTTGTTATATTGTTTTTTGAACCATCCCATTTTGGTAAATCACCACCTATTTGATTATAATATAAAAATAACTGATAAATATCAGTATTATCAAATATTTTATAGTTTGGAAGTTTTTTTAATTGACCAGAATAATATGTACTGAAATTTTATTATTAGTGTTTTTTATTTTATAATTACAATAATAAAAATAATAATACAAACAATTGTAAAAGACCATTTGGAAGTTTTGAAAATGGAAATTCACCATTAATATGGAAATTCAGAGTATTGTAAAATAATCTATTAATTATCAAAGATAAAATTAGTATTTTAATAATATTAATTTTCTTAATTATAATAAAATTAACTTACATTCTTTTATAGAAAGAGTATCCTGTAAATTCAATAAATGAATTTGGTGTTTGAACATTATATCCTATAAAGCTTTAATGGTAATGAGAAATATTAATAAAAATTTTTTATTAAAAATTATAATATATAGTTTTATGCTTACATAACAGGATACATATTTTCACTATTTGAACCTAACAATATTGATAGCGGAACCAGTGGATAAGATTCACCTGGGAAACCTAATAATTGTACATATTTTATATTATTATGTGTTGATAAGTTTTTGAGAGAATTGAAATCGAAATCACTTGTAAAAGTATAATAAAATCCACCACTGGAAATAACATTTGCCATTGATGGGATATTTCTTGTTACAAAATAGGCATCTTTACAAAAAAAAGGATCTTTTAAAGTGTTTTCTAAATCATTATTTATATATAATCCATAATCCATATTGTTTGATAGTGTAGGATCTGGGTCAATTTTAAAAGTATCTTTTAAAGGTATTGTAAAAAGTGATAGAGACAAAGGTTCTTCAATTCTTTTTCCTAAAGTTGTAGTGAAACTCTTTGAATTGATTGGGTATTTGAAGCTTATTGATAGTGGTGAATTCATCTCTCTATATTATTATTAATATTATTATTTATATTTTATTTTTATTTTTATTTTTTTATAATTACATGTAATCTAGAGACTCTGTTGCAAAATCAAAAAAGTTATCAGCTATATTCCATTTGTAGGTATAAATTGTTTTGAGGTTGGGTCCAATACATCTTACATCGGTATTCTGTATTTCTTCATTTGTTAACTGAGGTCGTGAAGAATATTGCATTGTAATTATATTTAAATCTTCATCGCATTGAAAATAAGGTGTATTTGTGCAAAAATCTTCTGGAGGGCTGTAACCCAGTTTTGTTAATAAATTGGAAAAACATGTACCTATAAATAAAAAATAAAATATTATTATTATTTTTATTATTATTATATATATATAATTTATTTTTATTCTTATTTTATTTACTTTCTGATTGTGAATACTGAAGCGAAAAATTAATAAATAATTTTATGAAAAATATTATTATTAGAGTGGACATATTGAATTTATATTTGAAAAAAAGTAATTTTTTTTTTTTATTAGAAAAAAAAAAAAAAATTTATCAATTTTCAAAAGCAAATATTATCAACCGGAATTCAAAAAATATCTGGATTTTTTTGATCGTTATATTTTGTTTTTTTTTTAATTTTTTGAAGTTTTTTTTTATTTTTAATAGCGAATGATATTTTTATTTTATTTTTATTTATTTTAAATTTTTGTAAACTAAAATATAAAAAAATTAATTTATCGTATTTGTATTTTTTTATAAAAATAATAAAATTTAATAAAAATCAAAGAATTTTAAAAAAAAATAAAATTTTTTTTATACACAAAATAATATTTTTGCATAAACAAAAATAAATTTGACACTGAAGGTTCGGGTGGTAATCATAAAATAATAAACAAAGTGTAATTGCAAGCTATTTTTTCATATAAAAATGAATTAAATAAAATAAAATAATATAGATACAGACATTGCAATTTTCTCGCAGACCAAAATAAAAAGATATTTTGTAAAATATAAAAAAAATAAAAATTTTTAAAAAAATTTAAAAATTTTATTTTCAAAAAATTTTATAAAAAAACAATTATATATTTATTAGAATATATCAAAAATGACCACCAAAAATTGAAACAATATAAAAATAATAAACTTTTTATTAATAAATTGAAACATAAATAAAAATTATCATTAATATTAATCGTTTTTTTATCACATGAAAGAATTTATCCAAAAACTAATTTTTTTTTTTAAAAAAAAGATAAAAATAGATAATATAAAATAAAAGAAATAAGAAAGGATAATTTGTAAAATTATAAATAATTATTGTTAAAATAAAATGGAAAATATATAAAGGTTTTTTTCTTTTAATAATAAATGATTTTTTGTTGTGGACTCTTTCATCTTTTTTCTTTACATCAATTGGTAAATTATATAAAATGGATAAAAATGAATAAGAGATAATCTTTTCTATAATTTTTTAAAAAAATACGATAATGATAATG